ATTCGCTTGCCTGCATCGCTTTGCCTTGTATTTGCATCAGATACCTGCCTGCGTCGTGCACTGCATTGCCGTCATCCCCCTTTTCACTTAATTACCACCCTCTTTCGACTTTACCTTCTTGTCGTCGTCATCTACGCAGCGTTTGTCTTACAGTCTAGACTCAGCACCCGAATCGAAAGTTGCTGACCTCATAAAGCCACGCCTGAAGCTCAACTTCTCTTCTTTTCAGTTGCTGTAGCCAGCTGCAGCAGTCGTACACCATCGCCACCACGAGGTGCAGCACGGACTCCCAAGGACTGGCCTTCTGGACAAGGAGTCAATTTTCTAGTTTTCCAGGTTTCCTGAAGAAGAGATTCGGGTCAAAAGACAATAACGGAAGACTCCAGATCATTCAACTGTTGAATCGTCATATCCGACAGCAAGCGTAGCGCCTCAGCCACCAGTCTGGTTTAGTTATCCGTCCCGAGGCGGCAGTCCGATACAATTAAGCGTCATTCGTTCCATCCGAGACCCCGTCGCACCGAGTCACGACTCTGCAGGAAGCGCCCGGCTTACCAGCACATCGACTTGCCTCTCTGGAGTGTGCGTGAGAAAGAGAGTGAGAGAGAGTTACTACTGCCGATCTGAGTAAGGTTACCTACTACCAAAGCTTGCGACAGTACCGACTATTTCCGTTTGGACGATCCCTGATCCTACGACACCCACAAATCGCAACGTTCCTCCTCGACGCATAGGCAGCGCGTTGTGTTTTGTGAACCTGTATTGCATATACACGAGCGAAGGTATTATACCTCAGGTTGCGCCAGCATAACCATCATCTCTGCAACATCAGAGACACTCTGAGACACCTTTGCATATCTGTTCGAGTGCGTGGTGACCCATTCGTTACACGTTCCATCACACAACACCACCAAGAACAACAAGAACAACAATAACAACAAGCAAAGGTTGTAAATCGCGGCCTATCACGGGGATTACACGCCAACAACGCCCACTACCATTCGATCGATCCATTGGCGTCGGTGGTCCGCAAGGTCCGGTCATTGACTTATAGGTGACTGGAGGTGGTTGACTATTTCCTTTTAGTCCCCACGTTGTAGGAAGAGGAAGGAACGGTACTCTGGTACTTGCAGGTTCGCCAGCAGTGTCTGCCACCTTACCTACCTACCGCTTGGTGTCGCTCGGCCTTAGCGGAGAACAGGTCCCTGCCACCACCCGACCCCTGCGGGCCTTCCGCACTAAGGTACCAAAACGGAAGTACACCTCACGCATCCTACCTTACCTTGTAGCCCCGAAGGTGCTATTATTACTCCATCATCACAGCCGCTGCATTATTTTTTGCGACGAGTAATCACCACCTAGCCGTCCATCGCGCCAAGTTGCTTAGCACGCTGCACTTCGGCCTTGACCTTGGATCGGTACGCGCGGTACATCCATCACCCACCACCATCCACATCTCAGTTTCCACACCCCGTCGGCGGAGATACGGCAGTGCCACTATTCTTAACCATGTCGGGCTTCGTCTCTTCGCCCACCGCCCTGCACCCCGCCCTCAGTAATCCGAATCCGCTTCCGCCGCCAGCGCCATTGTCACTGCAACAGCACCAGCCGCCCGCGCTGCCCTTGTTGTCGTCCTCTTCCGAAGGCCATGGAGTTAAAACCTCGCTTTCCGACCGCCTCAAAAGCTCCAGCGCAAGCACCACCACCACTACCACCATCCACGATCGACCGCTCTCTTCTTTCGCCTCCACCTCAAATTCCGTCTCCTATCTGCACTCGCACTCCCACTCTCTGTCACTGCATCGCAATGCCGGATCGGTAGCAGAGGAGGAACCCTACGCCTGCGCTCCGGGCGGATTTTCTGCTACAGCTGCTGCTGCGCAAAACCCCTCGTCCTCGATAAGAAGAAGCTCCCTATCAATAACTTCCACCGCCGCCTATCCCGAGCTGCTCCCGCCTCCTCTGTCCAAGTCTTCCAACACCAACGCCAGCGCTACTGCCCATCCTCCCAAGGGCCACCGCCGCGCGCCATCCCACGAAGTCCCTCGCCAGACTATTATGAAAGCATTGGCTTCGGTTGTTCGCAGAAACAAACCCGAAGCCCTCTCCCTGACCGGCATGTTGTCCCAGCAAGGTGGCTGCGAAAACCGCCCCGCTACCTCTTCCTCCCAGAAGCTGGCCGACGCCCTGAACGAGCTGGCCAACCGAAACATGACCCCCACCACCGCCCTTCCCTCCCTTCAGTCCCCCTGCTTCTACCACAATCGATTCGACGATGCCGTTAACATCGACAAGGTCCTCGAGGAGATCAAAAATGACGACTGCATGTCTCACTCCAGGCTCGTACAGACAGCCACCGGCGTCCGCGAGGTCTCCAAGCAGCTGCAACGCCGCCCTATCAAGCGCGCTGTTCGCAATGTCATGATTGTCACCAAAGCTCGCGATAATCAGCTTGTATATCTGACACGCGAGCTTGCTACCTGGCTGCTCCGCACTCCGAGGTACGGTGCCAGTGTCGGCGTCAACGTCTACGTGGATGCCAAGCTCCGCAACTCTCGACGCTTCGATGCCAATGGCATCGTCGCAGAGAACCCTGCGTACCAGGATATGCTTAAGTACTGGACGCCTGACCTGTGCTGGAGCCAACCCGAGAAGTTTGACCTGGTCCTCACCCTCGGCGGTGACGGAACCGTCCTCTTCACGTCATGGTTATTTCAGCGCATTGTACCCCCCGTCTTGTCCTTCAGCCTAGGCAGTCTCGGCTTCCTGACGAGCTTCGAATTCGAAAAGTATACGCAGCACCTGGACCGCATTATGGGAGAGGAGGGCATGCGCGTTAACTTGCGCATGCGCTTCACCTGTACCGTCTATCGCGACGGCACTCTTGGCCAAGATGCGGAGGAAGGCGAGCAGTTCGAGGTTCTCAATGAACTTGTCATCGACCGCGGCCCGTCTCCATATGTCTCGAACTTGGAACTCTACGGCGATGACGAGCTCCTAACGGTGGTGCAGGCTGACGGCTGCATTTTCTCAACTCCGACAGGCTCGACCGCTTACTCACTTTCGGCGGGAGGCTCCTTGGTGCATCCCGACATCCCTGCTATTCTCCTGACGCCCATCTGCCCGCACACACTCTCATTTCGCCCAATGGTTCTCTCTGACACGATGCTCCTCCGCGTGTCGGTACCGCGCAATTCTCGCGCAACCGCTTACTGCGCCTTCGATGGCAAAGGTCGGGTTGAGTTGAGGCAAGGCGACTACGTCACCATCACGGCCTCACAATATCCCTTTCCTACGGTTGTCCGAACCCAGACGGAGTGGTTCGATAGCGTCTCCCGCACTCTTCGCTGGAACACGCGCGCCGCGACGCAAAAGGGTTTCGACCCCTCTGCCGGCAGCAGTCTCTGCCCGTCCGAGGACGGCAAGGACGACGACCCGGAGTGGGACATTGACACTGACTCGGCCTGCTACGCTAGCGAGGATGGGAGCATCAGTGCGAGTCCCCTGAGAAGACAGATGAGCCTGCTGGGCATGTAATTTTTGGTCGTTTTGTTTTTTCTCTAGAGACAGAGAGCATCATGATTCCCACCTTTCTTCGCGTTCATGACTGGACATCGGGCGACGAAGAGTAGCACGTTATGTTCGTCTTTTCTTATCGCGAGGCTATTTCTCCCTCCGCCTTTCCCCTCGACCACCTACCACCAGTAAGGGGGTGCTAGACTAAGGTGCACTGGCAACTTTTGTTTGTTTGTTCCATAGACTTGAGCGATCTCGCGAGGCATGAGAAAGAAGGAAGAGAATGGGACCAGTATTGTGTGGATGGAAGGGCGGCCAGATCTAGACCGGACACGCCTGCGTGAGCAAGACGCTCTCACGTTAAAAGAAGATGAAGGTGATGTGCATCATATCGGCATTGGCATTGACATGGTACATACTTGCATGGGGTGGCCGTTGTCGTGTACGCGAGCCACGCACTCACACTCCTCTCAAAGAAGGAGGATAGCGATCCTGTTTCGATACACATAGATAGTTATATGAAGGAAATAGAGAGAGTATATATGAGAGAGAGCAGTACGCGAGTGAATATCTATATCTCACTAGCATACATACGGTTGGCGGTAGAACCGACCAGCAGGTGCGGTTTGCGTCCCAAACTATTTTAGCCACAATTATTGACCTTGGTCCCCATCTATCGTGTTTGGCTCGGAGCGTCTTCACCGACTACTACGTATCCAAAGAGCTTACTATTCGACTGTCTGCACAAGTCGACAGAAGGACTGTTCCCAAGTGACCGTGAACATGCGGATACTATGTGAGCCAGTCACTGTTCCGCACGCTATCGAGATCAAGACCTTGACTTTACACGGTTTTACGCGCATACGGGTGTGATGCCGCAGACACAGATGGACACGGTCTAGCCGCAGTCAAAAAAGCACAGCAATTTCGTCATATGTTTATTTTCATCCCTCCTCTTGTGACTTATTACGCCGTGGCGCCATTCAGGCTTGTCCAGAACACAAACATTGCATGCGTCCAATCGACTTTGCAGAGCAATATCTACTACCGAATCCAAGACGCCATTTGCTTGTTGTAACCCCAAGCCCCAAACCCACAGTGACGCGTGTGCATAGAGACAACATGCCGTCACTTAGTGCGCAATGGGATGATTCAAGAATGAGAGCTAGGCTATCATCGTCATGTTGGTCGTGACTCCTCCAGGATGGAAATCCCACAAGCGATGGCATGCCCGATGATATGCCCAGCGTATCCGTCTCCGAACTAAGCGGGCCATCAACCTTCGTTTGTTGCGTCTCCCTGTGTGGTGATTCTTGATCGTCTGACACAGGGACTGGCCCTGATGCTGAACATGAATACGTTCGTTTCTACCACGGAGTCGACTGGATGTCCATAATGAGGGCGCAAAAATCTATCCAGTATTGAGCTGTGTAATACTCGGACTACTTCCTGTGACGGTGTGAAGTCACCTATACTCCAAGTTCCTATCTCCAGGCACCTTGGCTAAGAGACAGCAGACCTGCGATGCAATCCATGTCACCTTTCTTGCTTGGGCTGACATCGGCGCCTCGCATAAAATTTTCCACCTCGTCCGCACCCTTTAAGGCGTGTGAACTCTGTCCGTCCTCGAATATTGTGACGTGTTTTCCAGATCCTCGGCGTCCCATAGCGGGCATCGTTCTGGCGCGGCTACTGCTGAATATGACGGGCCCAGGGTGGTCCTGTAAAGTACGCCCTGTTCGTCTCGCATTGTTTTTGGTGTCGGCGGTAGCCGGCAAGGGTCTTCGGTTGTTTATTGGCGGTAATTGACGCATGTTGGCTTCGTTTTCGGGGCTCCAATTCTCCTTATCAGAATCACCCGATGGAGATACAAGCATATCCGCCTTGACTTTGTTACCTGGGCCCAGTTCGTCACTCGATTGAGACATGGTCTCCTCGTCATCAGCGAGTGATGTTTGCATCCTAGCCATGCTAGAAGATGTCCGACAAAGCCTAGGCTTCTTCACCTGTTGAGGTCGATAAGTCGGTCTGCTTGCCGGACAGTTCCGCTTGGAGCTGTTGTTTTGAAGAACGCCGCTGGTTGACCGGAGAAGGCTGATAGCAGCGACAGCAGAGCCATTAGACTCGTCCTCGGCTTGCGTCGTGAGTTCGTCACGAGAATCAGCGTCGCAGCACAGTTCCCATGCGTGAGCGTCACGAGATCGGCCTCGTCCCAGTGCTGGTGGCAATGAATCAGTGAGAGCCGTTATGGGCGGCAGCGTTACGCTAGGCAGAGCACTGTGACTTCGCTGGAGCGGTCGAGCTATTCTGGGCTGAGGTAAGGCTGCCAGATCCGAAAATAGCTTTGTAGGCTGGAAGCGAGGGGGCGAATTCTCATTGGAGACAAGCTCAGCTTTGCCTTCGAGCGAAAGCGATAATCGCATGTGTGATTGTTGTGATGATTGAGGGGAGGGCAAGGTGTGTGTTCCAGGTGCAAGTGGTGAGCAAGACGGGATATATTGATCGGATCTGCATGCCATGTAAGTACAAATGCAGGCAAGATTAAAGGGAGCGAGCCTTACTTGGGGGTCTCATCAACGCCGCGGTTGAGCGTTGAAGGGGTTGTAAAGGCACTCGATGGTTTCCAATGAGAGGATTTAAAGAACCCTACGGAGTTTGAAAAAGAAAATGAGCCTGCTGAGTGAGGCTGAGACGAGGAAGCCGTGACTTGAGATGACGGGGTCTCCAAGGCCGTAGCATCAGCACTGCGGCTTAGAATGAACGGTGTTGCGTGTTGAGGTCGTTCATCGGTCTCATCTCCTCGTAAGGGTGAAGTCTTGACTGGAGTCTCCGTGGGCATGACAGCGTTGACGGGAATCGGGTCAACAACTGGAGATGCCTTTTCTTCCGGCAGGGAAGAGGTGTAGCCCACAGGATCCGAAGAGAGTATCTGCATGCCACCGTACCGGAGAGCAGCAATTTCCTGAGCAGAGAGGGGCCGCGATTTGCGCCTGTCATTCTGTCGACGATTTTGGAACCATATCTACTTGCCCGTGATCAGCACCAAGCGCAACGGGCATTTTATCGATGAGCTCCATCAAATACCTGAACCTCCTTTTCGTTGAGGGAAACGCGCTTCACGATATCCAGGCGCGCCGCCTTGTCTGGTTTCGGGTTGGCGACATAGGCAGCTTCGAGAATCGACTTGTCCTTGGCACTACAGCACAATGCATGCAAGAGTTAGTGACTGCATCACAGAAACGCGTGCCAACTGGGGCTGAAAACAGCGACATACGCAGTTCTCTTCCTCTTGCCCTTGGGATGTCGCTCAGAATCGGGGTTTGACACGTCAGTTTTGACAGACGAAGATGGCGCGAAGTCGGGAGTTTCTGTGCAAGTAACAACCTGTCTCGTAGGAGTATGCGCAACTTGATCTATCTGAAAGGAGGATTCGCATGGGGACGGAGAAGCAGACGAGGACGATGCTGGTGCAGTCAAGACTTGAGAGGAGATGTCGGGGACGGGCATGGCGGCGGATAAAGCTACGAGTAGTGAACGACGGTCATGGTCTGGGGTCGAGGCAATTGAACGAAGAGTCGCGAGCTTGAGGGGATGGTACCGAGCGTGCACGCACGAGATAATAGACGAGACAGGCCTGGTATTGAAGCGAATTGAAGATAATTGGACAACTGTGGGCAAAACAAAGTTGAGAGGAGAGAAGAGTAGAGGAAGAATGACGAAGAGAGGCTCCCAGGAACGGGCAAGGTGGGGAAGCGAGAGCGTCGAGACACACGAGGCGCGGTTATTAGTGGTAATTAAGGTCAGGTACGGTCCAGGTGAGTTGTGGTGCCTCCCACATGGGTTTTGGTGTTGAACACGGCGCGTCTGAGAAACCCAACTAGGCAAGACACTTACACGCTAGGGACGTGGACGGTGGAGTTGTACCCTACCACCCTACCCAAGGTACCGTCTCCAAAGTGCCTGAGCGGACCTCACTGACAGCACCAAGGTCTGTTCAGTAAATCCCGTCCACTACGGAGGTCAGGCCAGCTGGGCTGTAAATGTTACAAAGTCTTTTGGAAGAAGACGCTTCAAACCTACATACTCTGGAGGGCATTTTTCCTTTTTCTGACGCGTGTAGAAGTTGATTGGAACGTAGGCATGGTGTTGGATGCTCTACTGCACAGCAAGCTGGGGTGGTAGGTAGATATACCAATCTGACTAGGCTTGCCCGCGGCCTAGGCACCGGGCTAGGTACCACACGACAGCGCGATCGCGGCACGGATCCGCAGGCCCACCGAGTCACCTCCACGTCTTTCACCTTTCATACCGTACTTGCGCTACCTGTGCTGGGTGAACGAACGCAGTGCAGACAGGCTGCGAGCCGAGGCAAGTTGGCAACAACCTTGGCTTGGCAGTGGCATTCGCAAGTCATGTCTAATATATGCACGTACTCAAACAAATACCACCAGTCTTCTAGACCCTCCCTCAGTCTGTTGTTCACTACGTTCACTAACGTAGTGGACCGTGGCGCAAATTTATATGCTCAATGCACCGAGGCAAGGTAAGGTACCTTAGTATCCGTAGCACAGTCCACGCATAAAAGGCTTGGACCAGTCACGTCGCGCATCTGTTTTCAATTGGGAAATAAAACAAAAACAGTATACTTTCCATCACCAGGGGATACACCATGACAAGACACTATCTTAGTGGTCCGCGCGAGAATTGGAGGTACTACGGACCGTTGACGTTGAGTCTGACGGCCTGACCTGTAGATATCTCGAACCCACATTTTCTCGCTAGGCAACTCACGCGTGTAGGGATACACAGCACACTTCTCGCGCACGCGCGCCATGGGGAAGCCCATCGTAAGGGTAGGTAGGTCCTCTGTCTTACCGATCTTAGGTCATACGGTCCAAGTCAGAAATTATATCGAAATCGTGAGGCTGAGGTTGATCGTATGCAATATGTCGAGGCATAGCTTTTCGTCGTCTCTACATGCCATCGCGCGCCTCGAGACGTCCTGATATGTTGCGATGCTTTCGTTGGTAGCAAGACGCCAAGGGCAAATTCGTCGTCGCTCGTACGTGCATACTTGGTGTTTGACCCCCAAATCATCCGTCGCCCGTGTATCCGTACCTTTCTTGCCGCATCGGACGGGACCTGCCCATGGACCTGGGACGAATGCGAGTTGTTCATTTCTAGAGCCTTACTACAAAGTGACACGCGTGGCTATGCGCAAGCAAGCAAGACTCGACAAACGAATTTCCATAAGAACCCATCCATAACCCTTTACGTCCCGAAGGCGCGCCTCTATTCTCCCGGCAGACACCAAGACGTACGGGTACTTATCTAGGTATCCGTTTCCGTACTATCAGAAATCACCATAGCCAACCGCAAGAAAACCACGACCAGGCGTGTCACTGACCATAGGTGCCTTATGCTGCTCCATTTTGGGTCTGTTGTCTTCTAGAGCCGCAGTCAGCAGTCATGACTCTTATCGCCCGCCTAAACAAAGTGAACGGGGAAAAACGCGTTCTGGGAAGTGGACGGGGGCGTGCACCGACTTTTACAGAGCACCGGCGTGTTGCCTACCTTAGTACAGTCAGAGGAGGTTGGGAACGTGGGAACCTCAGGGGTGAACGATCCCTCGTCGTGCAAAAATAGTGCTTGCATGTCCCGTCCAACCCCGAACCATAAAGACCCACTTGTGCAAACGCTCCATTTATTCGAAGTTCCTCCAAGGAGGACTCATAATTGTGTCTCAGCCTACTGCTCCATTGGCAATTCAATCAACAAAGGTTTCTCTGGAAGAGGCATTCGCTTCCGAGCTATGATGAACTATGCCAAGTGATGAACAGGCTACTTAAGATGAGTGGTCTTTTGCCCCTCTCACCGAGACTCACCGACAAAGACTCTGGACCCATGGCTCCTGGTCTGTCTCGTTCAGAAACTGGATCCGTCACGTTCCTGTTTCCGTACCTTACATATGATTATATGCATATTTACTACGTAGTTCCATTGCAAAATTCCCTTGTCGTCTCTCACTTAGAACATGATGTGACGTGGCGTACTTGAATTGCATGATGTGGTCCTGGGTAGACCATATTCATGATCATTTCTCTACCTGCGTCTCAATTCTCTCTCTCTCTCTCTCTTTCCTCTCTCTCTCTCTCTGCCTGTCTGTCTGCCGACCGACCACGCCCAGCTAACCATTGAATTGCTATCTAATTAATTGCATCGCGCTGTCTGCCGAGGTACGCCCACGCAAAGTAGAGAAGAAGACGAGCGGAACCCGAGACACCTTGGTGGAAATGTAAGGACTCAGTGTTCATCTTGTAAGGCGTCAAACTACTCAAAGTATGCTGGCCGTCTCGCAGCAAGTGTAAAACCCTCCATCCAGCTCCGAGTCTACCATACGAACAGGCCGTGCCGTCTTCTACCATAATGGCCGTGACCAGCAATTGCCAGTCTGCGCCAGAGAATTTCGGTTCACGACGTCCTTTCAACCGCTCCACCGCGGTGGGATCATGTCCAGGCCGCGTCTCTATCTTTACAAGTCATCGTCTGAAAGTTCACCGGGCAGAGGCATCTGGGAAGCCTCAGCCATCTCCTGGCGGTACTGCTCGAGGAGCTTCTCGTCGACCTGAGCGGTAGGGGGAGCGAGAGCCGGCGCAGCAACAAATTCCTGTCTAGCAATTAATATCAAGCTTTTTTAGGCAGCAGCCGGTGAAGGTAATCTATTGGGGGGGTTACCAAAGCGGGATTGCCGACGAGCTTGCGTGCAAGCCAGAGGAACGGCTTCTCGAAGTTGTAGTTGGACTTGGCAGAGATATCGTAGTACTGGAGGTTCTTCTTGCGGTGGAAGGTGATGGTCTTGGCCTTGACCTTGCGCTCCTTCACGTCGACCTTGTTGCCGCAGAGAACGATGGGGATGTTCTCACAAACGCGAACGAGATCACCTGAAAAGTTCTGGTCAGTTGGGCTAGTCGGTCGAGGTCAAGGGTGTGGATTCGAGTCGGGTCGATCCGTCTACGTACGGTGCCAATTGGGGACGTTCTTGTAGGTGATACGGGAGGTGACATCGAACATGATGATACCGCACTGGCCGTTGATGTAGTAACCGTCACGGAGACCACCAAACTTCTCCTGGCCGGCGGTATCCCAGACGTCGAACTGAATCTGGCCGAAGTTCTACACGAACAGAGTTAGAGACCGACGAGCGATATGGTAGCAGGACCAAGCCGTTCGGAGGGCACTTACCGTGCTGAAGCCCAAAGGGTGGACTTCGACACCAAGAGTGGCCATGTACTTCTTCTCGAACTCACCAGTCAAGTGACGCTTGACGAAAGTGGTCTACAATATTGCACACGGTCAGCAACGAAGCAAGTGGTGGAGGGTGGAAGAGAAGGCTATTGGTTTGAGGGGGCGCCGTCAGCGGTAGAGGCGAAAGCCGTTGGCGGGCGCAACCTCGATAAGGGCCGAGGGTGACGAGTGTAATAATCACCTTTCCTGTACCGCCATCGCCGACAAGAACGAGCTTGAAGGTAGGAGTCTGGGCTTCGGCCATGTTTGCGATCAGTAAGAATCGGTTCGGTGCGAGTTTGCTGTAAACAAGCGGGGCTGATCGCGAGGTTAGCAGCTAGCGCAAAGCAGAAGAAATCGGGAGAGATCGAGGGATATGTCGAAGTGAACGCGGGAATCAGCATCAGAAAGGGTGTGTAGCAGGTTAAGGCGTACCGCAGAGAGGGATGAGTGGCAGTCTGTAGACTTTTCGACGTGTGGAAATCGTCACCGACTGATCGACTTTAGGGGGGGTTATGTTTTTGAGGATGGCGGGGGAGCTTGCAAGGAAGCCGTACTTCTTAAGCGAAAAATTCAGTCAGGCAGGCCAACGAAGTCGGGTAGGCACGATTGGGCTAGGCAAGGGTCACGTGCAGCGCTGTCTCGTCATAGCGGGGTCGCCTTTCAATGGACGGCCGGCACCTTTTAAGACTCCCATTTACTCTCCCCCTCCCCCTCCAGGCTGGTGTACATGCTTCCTTCAGCAACAAGTTGGTGGGGGAGGGGAATTATTTCAAAAAAAAAAAAACAAAAAAAAAAAGAACACAAATCCTCGTAGGCGGATTACCCAAGGTACACGCTTAGTTATCGAGAGGTCCGCGTCAAACACAACCTCGCCACCCATCGCGCGCAATCCTGTCTACACCCGTATCATGGTATCATGGAAACTACCGAAGGTATTCTGAGGTCCGCTTTCTTGTCACTGCTTTCAAGGAGGGCGGTCATTCAAGGCACACACACCATCTCTGAATTCTTTTTTGGCCATGCCATTCTTCTTTCTCAGGAGAACCGTCAGTTGATATCTCGCATGTACGGCTTACTACTGATATCACCCGTCGCCACACATCGCTGGCAAAACTCTCGAATATTCGACCCAGGATGCTGTTTTCTGGCTGCCTCGCCCCGGGGATTCAAAAGGAGCCATACGAAGAACCAATTAATATGATTCTTTCCTTGGTAGACAGATTTCCACCTACTGTGTTCTTCCCTTGCGACTAACTTTGTGATCAGAACTGTCAGTTCGCATGGCCGCCTGCTCACCCATAGGAGTTATCTGCCTTAGTAGTGGTTCACCTAAGAACAGGTGTCGGGTCCTGACGCCAGGAAGTGACTCTAGTAGGCATGCCAGGCCACATGGACTCGGGGTGTGTCTCTGCCCAAACAGGTCTATCTCAGGTACCCAAGGTAGTCGCTGTCACTGATCGAACTGTGCAGTGCGCAACCAAAACTCAAGGTATAAGCTTATTTTCTTCAAAGTGGAATTTTAAACCTTGTGTCGGCAAAGTTATCGAGAAACATTCAAACATACTATACACGGCATGATGGCCGGTTCTTCTTTGGCTCCCGCGGCTGAACCGATCTATTCCTCTCTCACAAGGGCAGAATGTGACAGCCCAGCAAACCTCTGCCACCCCAGTTGCGTCTTGGTGTCAGTGTTACATGCAGCTCCTGCCGTGCATCTTGGCTGGGTCGAGATACCCTAACCAAGACAGGTTGCTTTATCTTGTTAACTTATCACATACACACAAGAGTCATATAATTGTCAACTTACACCTTCGTTTCCTTGCACGCATTCAGCCACCTTCTTGAGGTTGTCGTGGTTTGACCTGTTGACATAGCCAAAGTTGCGGATATGGTCATTCGGCTCCAGGCCGGCTAAGTCGGCTGGGCTTCCTGGAACCACACTGTTGACTTTTGCGAATGGCTCCTCTAGCAGTCGAGATGCGGGATGATCTGCCAAGTTGTCGGCACCCCCAGGGAGCGGAACTTCGGGTACGTCCTCTTCTTTCAAGCTGGCGAAGTGCTCATGGAGTTGTTTCTCAACCATGGCCATGAGCTCTTTGTAGTCATTGCGGAGGTGGATAATGCGAGCTCTGGTAGTGCGCACTATTACGATCAGTGAGGTGCGCTATGTCTCCGCCACCAGAAGAGAAACACCTTGGCCAATATCGAGATCGGCTCTTGGAAAGCCATCTTGAGTTGTGAGAGGTGTATTCATGTCAACTCCGTGCTGGCTTGCCAGTCAGCTGAATGCTCGCTTCTTCAGGTTCGAATCCGAACACTAGGGCGGGGCTCTTGAAATCACGAACAGAATCGAGAACTGCACCTAGAGCTTTCAATTCGGCCTCCATATCTTCCTTCTTCCTCTGGAGCTCGACAAACGTCAGGCAGCTGAGGTGACCATTGATCGACGTATTGCTTGCTGGGCCCGAGGGCACGGTTGGAGCGTGTATATTATTCATCCTGAGGGGCAATCCCATTATCGACCGGGAGAACCGATAGAAATCCGAGGGTGGGAAGGTTCGAAAAAGGCTCCTTCCCTCAATTCAGTAGTGGCAGACAATTTCGTTCATGTCCCGAAAAGGTGGTTGCGTTGAGATGGATGCTAGCGGATCTCAACTCCTAACCTCTAAAGTAAGATGGGTGTCGCAACGATGCAGAGAACAATGTGGAACCCCTCGCTGCATCAGGCAGCCAAATACTGAGGTGACGCTCGAATGCGCACAGCGTCAAAGGGAGGTACCCTCAGTCAACGTAAGGTACAAGAGCCCCTCTGCCTGGAGGTAGGTACCTAGGTACCTAAAGTATCTCCCGATGCGGGTAATAGAGGCTTGGCACGTAGGCGACTTCTGAGCCCCAGAAACATCGAAGGTAGACCGGGTCGCTGACTAACTTTCTACACCTGGTTGGAGCTCGAAGCCGCTACTGGTACCTGAGGCACAAGATGCGGTCCTACTGGAACCCGACGCGTCCTGACCCAGCGTCGGCTCCAGATCTTGGCTCAATCCCAGCTGGCTCCCGATCCTCTGCCAGACTCCGACCTTCTCTAGATCGACGTCACAGCATCCATTCCTCATTTCCTCCACCTTCTTGTCCCATTCGCTCGTGAGCCTTTCCCGGCATCATGGCGACCGGCGTTGACGCAAAGCTATTGAAGTCCACCAAATTCCCTCCCGAATTCAATCAAAAGGTTGACATGCAAAAGGTCAACCTCCAGGTGATGAAAAAGCACGAGTCTCGCCTACCACTGCTATTCAATTGCTAATTGAGCTCTTCTCCAGGTGGATAGCCAGCAAAATCTCCGATATTCTGGGAAGTGAGGATGACGTTGTCATTGAGCTTTGCTTCAATCTGATTGAAGGACCCCGATTTGTCAGTCTGCCCGGCTCGAGCGATCCTCGCGCTTCACTGCTGATTCTTGTCCAGCCAGACATTAAATCGTTACAAATACAACTCACAGGCTTTTTGGACAAAGATACAGCACAATTCTGCAGGGAATTATGGAAACTATTCTTGAGTGCCCAAACAAGCCCACAAGGCGTTCCCAAAGAGCTTCTCGAGGCCAAGAAGTTGGAATTGATACAGGAAAAGGTAGGAACAACTCCGTTTCAGCCCGAGGCAGGGACGGTCGCTGACACAAACTAGATGGAAGCCGACCGCGCAGCAGATGAGGCACGACGCCGCCGAGGCGATCTCGACAGACGTCAACAAGATGGCCAGGTACCGAGAGACAGAGATCGCGGTGAACGCGGCCGCGGCCGAGGTGGGGATATGTGGCGTGGTCGCAACAGTGATAGGGACTACGACCAGAGAGGTAGACAAGGGGGACGGTTCGGTGGCAATAGATCGCGCTCACCGGCTGCGAGGACTCGCGACCAGAGGGATAGAGGCTCGTTCCGTGGGTCTACTAGAGACAGCTACGTCCCCAGAGATCGCGGTCTCGGAGGCCGAGTATCTGGGCGTCGTCGCAACGACACGCGCTCACCATCACCGGCATCTGTCACCTCACGGTTATCCTTCCGCAGCCCCGAACGCAAGCGAGACTTGAGTCGTGGCTCACCCCCGCCTCCCGCTCGACGAACTCGTCGAGAACGCAGCACATCCAGCCCCAGGCCTACGAGGAAAAGATCAATGTCGCCGAGAAGGAGCGAGGGTGGCCATCGAGAATCACGGAGGAAGAGAAGGTCGTCACGAAGCCCTTCGACGCCCTCAACATCGCCTGATAAACGGGTGGTTGCAAAGCGTCGCAGATATTCCTCATCACGGAGTCGTTCACTGGGTCGTGAGAGACGATCCCGCAGTAGATGCTCCGATTCAGCGTCATCCCAAAGTTCCAGATCTCGCAGTCGCAGCCCTGCGCGTCGAACCCCTCGGGGACGTGCAAGTTCGACATCTCGGAGTAGCCCCCGATATCGCCATGGGAGCAGCGTCCCCCGCTCTCCAGATGCCGGCGCTCGCAGAAAAACAGCTCACGATGTAAATGAAAGCGAACAAGATAGCAGAAGAAGCCAGGGAGGGAACGAATTACAGGAAGGCAGGAGACGCAAATCATAGCTCGGTAAATTGTGGTTTGCTGATCGCTCTAAGAGGTAATTCTTACACTTCATACCACTTGAACACTGGCACACGCCTGTGCCACAAAAAGAGAGGTGGGTGGCGGCGTTTGCAACAGGGTCCGACAGCTCAAACAGGTCTCCGCTAATGAGTTGCTGGTATGATGCAGACGCACCCTGGCTGGTCTCGCGGCGATAATGAAGGCAGGAGATGACGGGGAATGAAAGAATCAAATAAGAGACGATAAGCTCGCAATTTACTTCACTTACAAACGGCCAAGGCTAATCGTCTACGAAGTTTTGCTGCACAGACATACACACGAACTTATTTTCTATTGAGGGGATGAGGTCTTAAGGCGAAGTAATTTGCTTAACATGGTACGTTGCTTGTATCTTCTGGAGTCTCGTAGATACAAGGTACCCAAGGTATCTTGTCTGCCGTTCTTGAGGTCGCTCTTTACCCAGTTCAGTCTCTACCTTACCGTCCTTTACCCAACGAAGCACAAGGATTAGCATGATCCAGTCACGATCGCAACTCGCTTCTCCGTTTTTCTATAAACACTGCTTCGGTCCTGTCTAAAATTAATCACGGCTCGGGACAAGGGACAAATGTCAGGCTCAGCCAGCCATGAATATGGCCTCTCAAGCTACGTAGCTGTCACCATTCAAATTCCCTTCCAGGCCATTGTAGGTATTTATTTTCTGCGACCCAGACATAGAATCTTGAGTTTGATGAATCCGCAACGCCATTGAGTGCCGGTGAAGTAAGCAATTTTGTTTGCAATGGAGCATCTTGTATCTACGATCGTACTGAATCCATCTTCGTCCTTGTACGCCTACGCCGGCTTAAGTCACGATTCTGAGCCGTCGACACTGCGCCGTCTCCCGACAGGCACAAACGAAACAGAGGGTCACGAAGATAATCCGCATTAAGTATTTTTGCGCACTGTATCACAGATTTGACAACCTCAATTGCCTTCAGACAGTTCCCTAAGACACCCAGGAGTTGTATTAGCACGTAAGGCAAGGGGATGTATTCATATGGCAACAGGTAAGGCACCAGGGCACCTAAAGCAAGCAACACGGGCAGTCACGCAGGTAGGCAGGCACGTGGCAAGGTTTCCACTCATTCAGGGCGCGCTGTGGCTGTGTGGCTCCGAGCTTCTATTGGACTACCTGACGTGCGTGTCTATCGTACCTTACTGGCGACGACCGCCACTCCGGTGCAATCTACCTTACCTAGGCACGCTGTTGACAGAAAAGGTGGCACATATATAACTAACTATGAATTTCAACATATTATACTAAAATTAAAGATATATTGTTTTAATTTCATGAAAATACGTAAATAAATAAGAGTTTTAAATATACACTTTCTACATATTTCTAAATTTTATTAACTAAGAATAAAATTTATTAATAATTAAATAAAATAGGGGAGAAAGTAGATAGCTGCCTTAAATGTGCCATCTTTTTTGTCAGCCGCGTGCTAGGGTAGGTACCCACCGCCTCAATTCCCTTCCGTCATCCACCCTGGTCAATCCAAATGCCCATCGCTCTTCCCGACTCCTGTTACACTGACTGAAAGAGTAGCTGCGGCTTCACGTTCATTCCATTTCAGGCATTTGAGTTCGCTGGCGCCTAGCGTTTCCTTACTTGACGTAATCTACGGGGAAAGGACCGTAGGTTACGATGCTCCTTTCGTTCCCGACGCTCATTATTATCAAACCGTACAGGAGCTTTCTCACCCCCGTCTTTTCATCAACCTCACTAGCCCTCGGAATCTCATAACTCTAAGGGTTAGGTTTCCACCCGGCAGGCGTCTTTCACGAGTCTGGCCCAAGGCGCAACGAGTTGAGCATAGATCGTTTGTTGCGTGATTCTCAAATCATCACGGCCTTCAGACCTGACAAGTGTTCAAGCTCTCCAATTTCTTTCCCTACACCATTCTACGCTACCTGTCGCCGTTGCTGTTGGCAACACAACCCCTCATACCCTTCCGTATCATTTTGAGTGTTCACGGGGATATCTTGACCGCAAGAGAGGATGCAATGGAGTTCTCCCCATTGTCTCAGCATCATGGCAGCCCGGCCTACGATGCGAATACTCCTTCATCTCGGGTTGCTTCATCTTCAGACGAGGTGAAGCGCCTCGCACCAAGGGACAATCGTTTCTCTAGTTTCAACATGTCCGACCAAGCCGCTGTGGGTTTGCGGGATCGCTCAAGTCAGAAAAACAAACGCAAGGCTGCTCACAGCTTTGTGGAAGTCAATGACACTGGCCAAGACCAAGGCATGTCCAAGAGGCTGAAGCTTGAGGCCGTACAAAACCAGCCGCCTCAAGTGCCTCGGGACAGGGCTCTCCTTCCCTCTGATATGTGGCATCGAGTTTTCACCTTCCTCCCCCCTAGGAGCTTGGGTGCTCTGTTACAGGTCAATAAGCTTTTTAATGGGTATCTTGATTCCCAGTCGTCTTTCAGCAACACTGCTCTCTACCCGGAACTTGCAAGTTCCTGCAAGCAAATCAAACCGGACGCAGTTTGGCAGCTTTCAAGGAGGCTGCACTATCCCAGGATGCCCTCTCCCCTCGGGAATCGGACTGAACTCGATATGTGGCGGTTGTGCTGCGCCAAAACCTGTCGATATTGCGGTACTGCAAAGCCTAGTGAGCAACGACAAGAAAATCCTGATCCCTGGGGTTCAGGGCCTGGAGTAGATAGTCTGGCAACCATATTTGCATTTGGCGTCACCTGTTGCGGCCCCTGTCTTCTTAAACACTCTGTCAAGGTCTGTTTGCTACTTGGATCCCGCCGACATTCGTCTCTAAACTAAACATATCACAGGAGATTGACCTACTACTTTCATCCACAACCCCCTCCTCGCTTATCCCAGGATTTGCCTTTGTCCTCGTCACACAGCAACTGCAGGCCATCCCATCGAGCACTTTGACAATCAACACAGGCCACCCTAAGCTAGAAACTACCAAGCTATACTCAGCCTCGAGCATCGCGGCCGCCAAGGAACAGCTAAGCGTAGTTCAAGACCTTGGAACAGCAGCAGTTGAAGAGTGGTTTAAGGGACTAGACGCTCGGGGCAAAGAGCTTAGAAATGATGCCTCGCGATGGGAGAAGTGGGCCATGGCTGGCGGTCTGGCACTCATGTGCCAACCCGTGCAAACCCCGCGCAACGGGATTTCCGATGGATTGATACAAGCCGGAGACCCCAAATCACCCAATTCCGCTCGAGATTCCGAAACCAGCACTCCATTGTCAGCCGAGACCAAGGGTACGGCAGGGCGTGTGGGTTCCACTTTTGCTGAGGGTCAGAGTCTTGCGCTTCAGAGCAGTTCAGATAACACCCACGAAGAGGCAGCTGCGCTGAAGGCATTACGGCGTGCTGAAATCGAGCGACGCGCCATGTTACTCGACCCTCCTTTACCACCTAATATCATCGTTCACATGCCTTGCTTTCAAGCAGCCATACAAATAACGGCCACTTTAGACGATAATGCGTGGATCACGCTGAAGCCCAGATTGCTCTCACAACGAGCCGACGCCGAGAGGAATGTCAACAGTTGTCTCACTGAACTTCGGAGCACCGGCCCTGAGACGAAGGATGAGAATGAGATATCAAGGAAGGTCACAGATCAAGACTGGGATGACATCCAGGGCCCGGTGCGCGCACGAATATCAAAATATGCCGACGAGGTCATCCGCGGTAGCTGGAATAAGGGTCGCAAAGTCAACAAGGAGAACAGCCCACGGTTCGCAGCGGGGGTTCTCCTTTCAGTGCGGTCAAGGTTCTACGCCGACGTAGCGCAAGACGCTGCGGATGCCCTCGCGGCTGGGCAACGGCCTGTTCTTGACCCCCAAGAAGGGCCTTTCACGCAGAAGCTCACGCTGGAGAATATGAAGTGGGTGTTCGATGTGAAGATTAAACAGCATACGGAGTCGCATAGGAGGGAATTGTTTCTGTGCAACGGCTGCGAAAGCCATAGATTCTATGGCTTAGAGGGAGTGATACAGCACTATGCCGCAAAGCATACCAAAGCTCTCAGTCTCGGCAATGTCGTCGTCCACTGGAGAGCGGAATGGCCAGAGCAGCCCATATTCAAACCCAATGGCCGACCGACGAAAAGTTCTCGGCAAATCGGAGGAACGGTAGTTGCAAAAAACCATGCGGCGACTGCACCCCGGCCGCTTCATGGTCCCGATACCTTTAGTCGGAGTGGTAGTCTTCTCCCTTCCTCTGCGTACCATTTCACTTCGGACCACGTCCCATCCCTTTCCTATCAAATACCACATATCGACCCTTACAATTTAGCGCCATCCTACAACGCGGATGCCAGCATACCACGTGCACCTTATACACTGCCGAACTTCGCGCCGCCCGGCGTCCCTCAATTCTATCCAACGGTGCCATCTAGCTTTGGATCCGCCCCTCGTGGCCCCCAAGGGCACTCTCCAAACATTCTAGGCACGCCGTATGCCGGGCAGCCGCATATCACTCTTGTGCGTCACGGCCACCCTCAGCCACCGTGCGTTACGCTTCACGGAATGCCCCTTTCGCCCTCTTATGCCACTCAACTGGAAGACCTGGCCCGGATCGCGAGAGTTATCTGGAACTCATTAAGCACTGCCAGGGATTTGCCTGGACCCTTAAGAGTCTACATCACTATTCACCACGTGGTCAAACGATTCCGTTCCAAGTTTGCCGACACTCCCTCCTTGCGGATGTTTAACGATGGACTTTCAAATAACAAGGATATGCGCCCAGTCCGTAATATCAACGGACTAAGGTGCAAGTCCTGTACATTGGGTTTAGGACCACTAGTCAATCCAGATCGCACCACATTCTCTCTCCCGCAGCTTGTCAACCACTTCGAGAATCAGCATATGGAGCTCCAGCAGGGGGGCCACAGAAGTGAGCCAGGCCTAGATTGGACGCAAGACATGATCCTGATGCCGGATGTGTCCGAAATACCTGACTTGAAAGCCCTTATTGGCGGCAAGGGACACAAATTTAACCTCGTCAATGAAGCAGTCCCTTGGGTTTTCAAAAAGCCCAACAGACCTTCACATCAACCTGGGACCACGCAGCCTCTGAGCGGGTTGCCACAGCCCATCGATTCGGATCTAGTCACAGATTACACCCGGCAGTCCTACGCAACCCATGCAGGCGGTTCTGGTGCTGCGCTCAATGCCTGGCCAGATTCTAGAGCCACCCAGGATCCGCCCAGCGTGGGGCGAGAGCAACAACGCAGAGATTCGCAGCCCTCAATGGAATATGAGGTTCAAAGATGTGCAACAATCCCTTCTAGGCTATCTCTCACTTCTTATGAGGAATACGATCCAGGACGCCCGCTTGATTCTCCTACTTTTAACTCTCTCCGACAACGCTCTTGGGGCGCTCCTTCAGTGTTTGATGAAATGGACCGCAACTTTTACTACGAAAGCGGGCATCCCGGAGGTGGCAACAAGACAGCTCAATACATGGCCTCGAGCTATCCCTCGGGCCGCATCCCGGCAATGGCTGACGGAAACCATCATGGTGTTCGCGAACAACCTCGAGCGCCTGGCCCAGCCGCTGGCGAATCTAGGCATGGGCAGAATAACAGATTCCCCGTAGGGGAAGAAGAAAGGACGACTTGTACATCTGATCAGGCGAGGTCGGTTCGGCCACGCCCGTCACTCGAACGAGAGCAAATGCCGCCACAGAACACTCGCCCAGGTTCAGGGAGATGCGCCACAATTCCTCAGTCTACGAGGTTTATGGGCCTAGACTTTGCAGGTCCACTAGCAGAGAAGTCCGTTTGCTTCGGTTTAACTGCTGCGCTCGAGTCACATCTCGCCCAAGATCGTGACGCGCCGGCTCAAAACCTGAAGTATGAACTTTTTGAGCGTGGGAGTGTCCAACAAGAGTGCCGACCCACAGCACGCGATGCCCGTCCATCGGTCCATCCCATCTACCCTGAACAACACATGGATGCAGAAAATCTCGACGATGCTCGTCATAGACGCTTCACGCAATCTATCACAGAATCTCATGGAATTTGTCATCCTGGGGACCCTTCCGAGGCATTGTCGTACAATCAGATCTCAGCAGTGATTCAACATTTAAGTCGTAGTTACGATCACAGCAAACCAGCGCGCTACGCAGGCGTAACTCGCCCTCCATCAGCAGGGGATGAAGAGTCTTACGAGATTGTCCACGTAAGAGATGCCGAGAGAGAGTATCTCGTTCGTCGACCGATTTTGTGTGAGCGCGCACCACCTCGTGTGCTGTATGAAGATGGCAGTCGTCCATATCAGAACAGAGGGCCATACCCATACCCTCCCCATAATACTTTGTATGACTCAACAGCCCGGGTCCCTAGCTCTGGCGAACGGCATGATCCCTTCCGATTACGCGAAATTTCTACAGTACGAGCCCGATCGAGGGATGTTCCGTCATTTTACGCGGAATATAACCCGAACAACCCTACTCATATGCCGGGTCCTGGCGCTGAGAGACAATTTGAATATTAGACATTGTAATTATTTCAAAGGGCAAAGATGGCATTTCACAATAATCAAAAAGCTGTCGAACAGTTCCACACTCTACTTCTTTTCCTCGTGTCGGGTTTGGTTCAACATCCTGGAAAGTTGAGCACCAAACCTACGTGCATTTGTCTACTATCTATCCGTGGGTAAGGAGCGTGCGTGTGTGAGAATATTCTGAACAAACAGCCAATAGCTGTTGCATTTTCCGAGTGTATTACAATACCCCGACGGTGGAAAACATTCAGACTTTATCAAAGTTGAGACTCTTCTATTACCCAGATCTTGGACAAAAGTGGTACTGATAGGTACCCAGCAGACTGAGATGAGGCATAGCACAACAACCGTCGTAGCGTTTCTCAGACATCTATCAGCCTTTTCCGTCAAGAACGCCCCTGACATGTTCAATTCGCCTTTTATCCGCCTGACGAAACTAAGAGTGTACATCTGCGTGTGACACATGGGGAAAGGATGCGGGGGAGAAAGAAAGAGAGAGAGAGAGAGATAGAGAGGGTGTTAATGCAAACAAGTGGCGCCGATTTCGCCAGGGTCTGTTTCTTCTTTTCCAACACGTATCTATAACACTTCACCGATGATCTTAGCCGCCTCCCTGTAGGTCTGAAGCAGCTTCTCGCACTTCTCACGCTCCTTCTTGACGCCGTCGTCTTCGTACAACAGCTCCTCGAACAGCGCTTCCTTGTACAGCTCGCTGACAAGTCGGTTCTGAACTACATCCTTGCAGTGATTCACCAACAGGTGCATGACAGCCTTTGGGACTTGGTCCGCAATCGACTCGCGTACAATGTTGAAGTAGGAGGAGATGAGTGCTCGGATGAGCTCCGTCTCCATGGCTTCCCGTTCTGTCATAGCTGGCTCGCCGCTAGCCGTACCCTGGATACAGACTTAGCGTTCAATATTAAACGAAAATGAGCCTAGGTGGAACTTACGAAGAGGGAGCCATAATCTATGGATTGCGGGGGCTTGCCGAAGTCCAGCGCTTCACGGGAAGAAGATTGCGCTGGGGCGCGCAAGGCCACTTTGTCTTCAGCTCGCCGGATGCTTTGTGAAAAAGTTGGCTCGGAGCTTTGGCTGACGTGTCGGGCAATAGATGAGTTGGGCGACGATGATGCTCCAATCGCAGATGCACCGTCCTTGCCGAAGAAATAGGTCAAGAAAGAGTCGCGCGCACCCCCCAAGCCCTTATCATTGAACCTTGATGGAGAGGCCGACCTCGCCCCATTCAGTGCCGCGTTCAGGCCGGTGGTGCCGTTTTCCCGCACGCCAGGTGACAAACTGCGCGCGCCCTTACTTGCCTGCTTTCGAAGAGCGTTCGGTTCGGCCTTTTCGGCGACAGTCGACTCTTCCTCTTCACCCTCGGGGCCTTCGGTGCCATTAGCGCCCAGCTCCTTTAGGCGCCTCTTCTCCCGTCTTTCCCGTTCTTCCTGGATTAGACGTTTTCGCTCCCTCTCTTGTTTGTTGCTGACAACGTGACTCATGGCAGCGGCAGCACCCAGGAAGTTAGGATGGTTAGTGTTAATATACGCTCTTTGGATCGAAATCAAGGATTCGACATAACCAGAGGTCGGCCCTAAGCGCTCTCGCAGCAAGTCTGATACAACCTCTATCAGCTTAGCCTGCAGTCTTGGGTATCGAGACAGTTCAGTTGAGCCGCAGGTGTGACAAATTTTGATAAGCTCCTCGTAGACAAGCTCGACACATCTCTGACTAGGAATCTCGAGAAGCTTGATTTGAGGCTTGACAAGAAGGTCAAAGGCCATTTCGGGCACGAATAGACTGGGACGAGGACCGGTGGAATTGCGAATGGCCGTTCGAATGTCAAGCGCCGAAAGGTTCGAAGTCGGGTCAATGGATTCTAGAGACATGCCGAAGACGGAGTTGAAGATGTAGTAGATGCGAGCACCGCCACAAAGCTCCTTGGTTGATATTTCAGTCGAGGTCCCGTCAATTGATGAGATAAATGATGTGGCAAAGCGTGTCATTTGCTGCAAGATGAGGGATCCACGGTGCTCCTTGCCGCTGAAGTGCATATCACCATAACTTGCCAATTCCTGTTGAGTCTGTCCCATGAGGGTGTTGAGACGAGCTTTGATGTCCGGCATGCGCTCACGAATGTGAGCCATCAAGGTCGTGTTCAGCGTCTTGGCCAAGTAGTGGGTGCCGCATCGGCTAGCAATGTTGCGGTAGGCGGGGTGGTGTCTGAAGAACTCGGATTCAGCCTTGAGAGCTTCCTCCATGGGCTTGGCGCCCTGGATGTCCTGTTGAGAGCGGTTGACGACACCGATAAAACCAAGCTTCAAGGGGTATACACGGCCAGAGAGGATGTCCAGCGCGTTCGTACCGTGGTCCATTAGGTCCACCTTGGTGAGGACGCCAATCGTCCTCCTACCAAGAGGATCGACATGTCGGGCAAGTTTGAGAGCCTCCGAGTTTACAATATCAACATTAGCGGGGGATACGGCAAGAATGATGCTGTTCGGCTTCGCAATGTATTCGGAGATCAGGTTGCGCGTCTGCTTTTCGATATCTGTAGGCTGATCACCAATAGGAACCTAATGGGTTGTGTTAGAGTATGCGAGGATTGATGCTTAGCACGTATCAGAGGAAGTCTAGTGGCATACCTTTGTCAGTCCAGGAAGATCAACGAGCGTCAGGTTGAGAACATGTGGCGAGTAGATCTTGAGGTTGATAGGCTGTCTGTTGATGCCTTTGTTGTTGCCCGCCACACGGGCCGTCTCGTTCTCGATCTCGCGCTTTACATCCGAGAAGTCATTGAAGCGACGATTCGGAATGTGGTGGAATTCGGCCCATTCGGATCGTCTGGCAAGGTCGGGAGACCTGTAGGGATCGGAGGAAGGGTCGAGAGCACTCTCGTCCTCGGATACGTTGATCAATTGCAAGATCAGGGGTCGTCTCGTACAGATGCCACTTCCGCGGGGCAGAAAGTCACGACCGACAATGTTTTCGAGGACGGAGGATTTTCCGGCTGACTGAGAACCAACCACGACCTGCTCGATTGTCAGCGACTGGGCATCTGGGTAGCCCATCCACCATCACTAGACGACATACAATCTGGGGAAGATCGAGCGAGTCACTGCCGATGGTGTTGAAGACCAGGTCCTGCAATTTGTTGACAGTGCCGAGAAGGTCGTCTCCCAGTGACGCCATGGTGATTGGGTGGCGCTAGACAGAGACTCCCACAAGATCGGGTTGGGAGTGGTGGTGGTGAGGAGTGAAGCACGTGTGGATGTCGAGAGGAGCTTCGGCGGGCGGATTCTGGAAGCTCTTTCGCAGGGCGAAAGGCCAGGCCGAAGGGCTAGTCTGCAGCGCAGGGCGACGCAAAACAAGGCAGGGTAGTGCAGTTGAAGGGAGCAAGCGCACGCTCGTCGGGAGTTTTCGGCTGCCTCTGCAGTGTGAGGGCGACACAGATGATGAAGAAGCTACAAGGTTGCGAATGAAACCCCTTCGGAGGAGATGGATTTTCTGAGCGTAGGGGGCTTTGCTCGAACCGATGCGCTTAGAACCTCTAAGGCGTGTCGTTCAATTTCAAGAATTCATGCGCGATCCACCAGATCGCCCACACAGAAAGCTCGGACAAGGCACATAGTACGGTTCGAGCTATGAGCAGATATATTTAGGGTAGCTACATTACTACTATTAGTCAACTACTTATATACCTTTTACTTAATAAATATATTCCCGGATTCTATAATAGCTATAATATAAAAATTTAAGTTTATTTTATTGTATTTATTAATAATAATAAAATAATAAATAATATAAATATTATTTAAAAAATTAATTTATTATTTAATATTTTATAAATATAAAATATTAATATTTTTAAATTTTTAAAATTGAAAAATATATAATAATAAATAATTTATATATTTAAAATATTATATTTTATTTAATATAAAAAGATTAAAAAAAATTTATTATATAGTTTTTAAAAAAATATTTATAATATTTATATTTAAAAATTTAAAAAAAAAACTTACTATTTATTTTTGAAAGAATTATATAATATATTATTAAATTTAAAAACTTAAAAAATAAATATTTAAATGTATAAAATTTAAATTTAAATTTAAATTTTATATATAACTTTTATATTTTTTTATTAATATTTTATTTTTATATAAAATAAAATAAAATAATATAAAATAATATTTTTTTAAAAATATTTTATTAAATTATTATTAATTTAAATTTTTTTAAACTTTTTTTATATTTTAATTTAAAAAATTAAAATCTTATTAAAAAACTAATTTAAAAATAAATAACGTATATACATAGCGAGTCGCCTATTATAGCGAGTCGCCTATTTTCTTTTTTTTCTATACTTTCTATTTTAATAGCTATTTTTCTTTACGTACGATTATAAATTCTTTTTTAAATAAAAGTCGTATTATTTTTATATTTTAAATTATTAAAAAAGACTTAAATTTATCTATACGAAAAGCAGCTTTTATTTATAATATTTTAAAAATAATACTTCGCGACCGACGCGCTGGCTTATTATTTTAATATAAAATTTATATAAATTTAAAAAAAATAACTTTTTTAAAAGAAACTATAATTCTTAAATAAGTTATTAACTTAATTAATTAAGGATTTCTACCGCGATTTAATAATATATAAAATATAGCCGATTACTTTTTTATTAAACGTAATATAATACGTATCGAACCGCGATAAATAAAAAACTTTATATAATATTAATTATAATTAAAGACGCGTTTTCGATATAAAATCGATTATTAAAAGGTATTAACTAAGGATTTTATAATTATTTAAGTTTAATTTACCTTTATATAAAATACGATTATAAAATATAAAATATATAATTATAATATTTATAATTTTAATAAGACGGGCTTTTTAATAAAAATATTTTCGTATGTAAAAGTTATTATAATTTTTAATCGTTATAAAAAGCTTTATACGAAGTAGTTTAGTAATTAAGAGTAAATTTCTATTATTTAGGGTATATATACGGATAATTAAGCGCTATTTTTATACGTTATCGTAAAGAGTAAATATTACTTTTTTTTGTAATATATTAATAGCTAATTCCTTTTTAAATAGCGTATTTATTTTAATAAAAATAGATAGATTATAAATAAGATCGGTTTAGATTAATTAAAATATTTTAAAAAATATATAAAATCTTATATAAAGGGTATTAAACGGTTTTTAATCCTCGATAGTTATAATAATTATAAATTAATTAAATTCGATAATTATTATAAAAATATAGTATTATCGCTTTTTATATACTTTTTTATTTATTATATAAGCTTTAGCTTTTTAATATTAATTATTTTAGCTTATTAAAAGCTTTATATAATAAAAAAATTAAAAAGATAATATAGATATAGATTACGTATATTATTAAAAACGACTTTTTTTTATTTTTAAAATAACTTTTTTTATTTTAATAAGTAAAAAAAACGTACGAGTTAGTTTTAAATAAATTAGAATTATATTTTTTAATTTAAAAATAGTTATTTCCCGCTTAGATTTTAAGTTAAAAACGCTAATATTATTTAATTTATGTTTAAATAGCTAAGGCTTTTAGGATTTAAAAATATTAATTATAGTATATAACGCCGTACGAAGCTTTATTTTATTTAAAAAATAGATTTATAATTATTAATATAGCTTATTAATATATTTATACGAAGTTATTAACTTATAAATTAAAAATATTAATAAGTTAATATATAAATTAGTTTTTATTAAAGTTAAATACCGCGGGCTTTATATAATAAATAAAATATTAAATAAGCGCCGGAGGGTTAAAAAAATATAATTACGTTTTAAAAGTTTATTTAATATTATTAAGGCCGAGGTAATCCGAATAGAGAAAAGGGTTATTAATATTAAAAGCGAAAATATACGTTAAGAAAGTGCTTATATAAAAGGGGTTAAATTACGTAGGCGGTAATATAGTAATTATAAAAAGATTAGATATAATATATAAATATATTAAGTAATTTAAAAGATTTTTAAAAAAGAGGTTAAGAAATAGTTTTAATTAATTTCGTACGATGTGGCTTAATTAACTTATATAAATAGTAGGAGGGTATTTAGAAGTAGGCGACTCGCTATGATAGGCGACTCGCTATGTATGTACGTTAATTAAACTTTTAATTTTAATTAAATATTTATTAAAATATATTTTTTAAAATATAATATTAAAATATTAAAATAATAGATAATAATTATATAAATATTTATATATATTAATAATTATTTTATAATAATAAAAACTAAATAGTATTTTAATGTTTATTATTAGTTTTAAGCGTAAATTTTTGAAAAGGAACTATTACTTGAGTAATGACGGCGTGAGGGTTTTCTATATGTCAGAATCGTTTAGTGGCAACATCTAATGCGGAGGCTGTTGTATTCAGTGAAAGGTGCTCTGAAAAGCCGTAGCGTTGAAGACTTTGGGGTGCCGAGTAAACATTGTCTGTACATGGGTACCTCAGGTACAGAAGCGACCAACATCGTTCCACCCGCCTTCATCGGACCTTCATCTACATAGCCAATAACTCCCCTATACTGCCAGCCTGGATGGATTTTGCCGCACCTTGAGCAAACGGGGCGATCATCGAAGACTCCCGTACGCAGGAATTACGCAGGAGTAGATTATACAAGCAACCAATAATAGTAAGTCGTGCTGCGGTACCGCTCTGTCCGAGCCTCGCATATTCAGATTTCTCACCCATAATGTTCAGGCTCAGATCAAGGTATCCAGGCCAAACGAGTTCTTCAGGTCAACACACGGCAGCTTTTCAGGATAGCCCTTTGTCTGGACCTGAATGTTATAATCTCTTTCAATCGAAACCCGCATTGTCTACAACATGAGTCAACTTGGTGGTCCTGGTTCTCGACAGGCCAATTCCAAGCCTATACCGTTCGTAGTTGGCCGACCCTTATTCACCACAATCAATGCAAATGCTGTGTGTGAGGTGGTCAAGGCTAACAAATGGCGGCCTTTTGCCTAGTCCTCAACGTGGCAGTTTCCCACTTGATCATGATGGTGAGTTGCGAAACTTGGGCCCCAATCCACTGTATCTTTGCGGTCCTTGGTTTGCTAACGCGCAACCGATCAGGCGAATGCAAGCATGTCATAGCCACCTATCTTGAGTGCATCAAGAAAGTACGAGGGTTAAATGACGCTGAATGCCGCGACCTGGCTAAATCCTACCTTGCATGTCGGATGGATCGGTAAGCCCGTTTCCCATCATGCGGCTGTAGACGGAATGGTGGACGACTTTCTGACTGCTGAGGACTCTGTTCTCAGGAATCTCATGGCCAAGGACGAGTTCAGGAATCTGGGCTTCGACAATGGACCAAAAACGGCAAAAGACACCAATGACCTGACTCTAAGCCAAGTTCAGGGCCAAGGAAATGGTAGCAAGGACCAGGACGCAAAGCCCGGTGAATTACGATGGTGATATGATGGGTTATAAGGGCCTTTGAAAAACGGGATCTTGACTTGATGTCTCCTCTAGCTAATGAGTCATCTGAATATTCATTCTCCACAGATTTCTTACGAGCAGAGCAGGTCTTTGCGTTGTAACGAATTTATGGAGATTTCAGACAACGTGGTTGCTTGACAACGCAGATGTGCAAGAAATTGTTATTATATGAGCCATTATGCGCTGCAACGAGCGTCATGCACTCTGACAACGGACCCAGTGGCGGAGCGTCACCCTGTCTTCGAGCCACCACACAAAGCGTACCTAGACGGCGTGCATGGGGAGGCCCACGGCAAGGCATGTTTGTTGACGTAGATATTGCACTACTCGCCCTGCTTGGTCTCAGGCACCGCCGCCGCCCATCTTGATCCAGAACGGCCTACTTGCTTGTGGATCAATCAAAACACGCCGAACTGACCAAGATTCCAACTCCTAAGTCCCTAAAGTCGATATACAGTAATCCGATCACCTACATTGTGCACACAACTGTCATTCATCGTACAAAAAGCAAGTGGTTATGATGGGACTTTGATCGTGACCTAGAGGCAAGCACGGCAGGGCCGTTACTTTTGAAGAAGTCGAGACAGGACACGGGTATAGTCGCCTATCTGGAGGCGTCTGGGCTGCCACTGTGGGGCTGATACAGTGGTCACCTTACCTTAGGTAACCTGGAAGGCCCCCCCAGGTGCACTGAAGTGCCTCCCTTAAGTACCGGGTGTGTCCCCCAATGACAGCACAGAGCCCCTGCGAAGCAAGTAAGGGATTGTCGATAACTTGTGCTCACTCCATCGGCTTGGATGTTTCGTTGTCGCAGAATAGAGTCACCGTTGCCCCGACAACTACCGACCGCCAAATAGCTAGATGGCATAGCTATAACTTCATTGCTGTCAATCGGATCCCCCTCCATCCACAGAACATCACAAAATTCAAAGTAATTCTCTCTCAGAAAAACATACATGACCATTACCCTTTCATACATCCATAGCCAGGCGAATCTACCACCCAACGGCTTTCACCGCATGTTCCCTCGTCACCGCATCAATCTGCACCCTGTTCCCACTACCCACCGCCACCGCTTCTCCACTGCCCGGCCTACATTGTGCTCGACGCTCGCCGATTCTCCATCATGCATCGCAGGAAGAGCACAGAGAAGCCGAGAAAGGTGACTCCTCCGTCGCCGAGCTATATGAATAACGAACAGTTCGGTGAGAAACGCTGCTGAGTGCTTCTCTTCTTTTCCCACCTTGAATGCTGACTGCCAACTCCTCAGCTGCCTTCTTGGCAAACCTCAGATCCAACCGAGTCGCCCGCCCCGGCGGAGCAAGACCTCTGCCACCCTCTTCTTCAAGCACAAGATCTAAACGTCCCTCTTTCGAACACAGCGTTTCCGAACCCCTTCCTCGATGCGAAAGTCCTGCACTCTATAGTCCGAACTCTGTCGATGTGCCACCACAGCCAATTCCACCCTCTGTCAATGCCAGTTTGTCGTCCCGTCACTCGATCCCGAGTACCCAAGGACGCGACTATCACCTTTATCGCCCCACATCACCTCTGAAGCCCTCTCAGGTCGTGCCGACTGCCACCTATATGGAACGGGGACAGCGATGGATGGAGAAGGAAGAGGCTGTGTCACTTCGACAAGCCATGGAAGACATGTCCATCAAGGACGACGGACGACACGTCGAGGATGAAGCCGCGGACACGCCAGACGACGAAACTCGCATCTACAACGCTGCACTCGACGAAGCCTCGGAACTTGTCTGGCGGCATCAAAACGGAGTTCGCCCTCCCGATCAGGACGCTCCGTATCGGTACAAGCCTCACCTCAGAAAGAACAGTTACGCTCATGCTCGCACCGCCAGCGTGGGCAAACATGGTGACGGCGCTCGTCCAGCCGGCCTAGCTAGGGATAATTCCAGGTCGGTTTCTGGCAGCTCTACCGACAGCGATGGTCATTCTCGACGAAGTCGGCCCTCTTTGGCTTTGTCGCGTATTAGCGTTCGTGGAGAGAGCCAAAGCCCCGAGCGGCATTCGATGGACTTGGAAACTTCGGGCCCAGCCGGCACCCGGGCCCTCCCGAAACCCGTGGCCTCGGGTCATCGCCGCAGCAGCATGAAGCGGAACATCAGCGGTGAAGTTCAAAGACCATTTTCCGGTGATCAGATCTGGGAAGAGCCAGAATTCAATGCGCGGGAAGACAAGGCCAAGACGAAGTCAGCGTCGACAACCGACTTGCCTTTGGTAGACAAACCAGAGAACCCCCAGAGTCAAGTCCGATTTGACACAGGTTCGCAGGCGGACCGCGTTAGACCCTGGAAACCCAGGTGCAATGTAGAGATTCAACGGAACCCGCCCTCGCAGTCGCGCAACCCGCAGTACATGACCAACACCTCGGCTCCGAAGCCTGCGATGACGGACGACCTGGTCCCCAAGAAGAATGGCATAGAGATACGCAGTGAAGATATCCGAGGGGCCACAAGCATGAAGCTGAAGGACCGCAGCGCGAAGCTGCCCACGCCCACGGCTGTCAGTGATCGCCCTGGTCGGCCGATTGTAAGCTTCGACTCGAAGTGGAAGGCTCCAGACGAGAGAACTGATGCTAGGCCAGGAGCCGCGAGCCAAAACAACCAGCCGATGGAGATTCCTTGTATCGTGGTGGCGGCGGAGGAGCCTCCGTCGGACAGAGCACGCGGCATCCCGGTCGTTCCGTTGATAAATATTGATGGGGCGGATGAGCCAGATGGGTCTAGTCCGGGCATACCTTCCATAGCCATCCCCGACGACGACTCTTCGAATTCGACGCCGCGGCCTTTGCCCGACCCCAAGATAGCATCCAGGGGTCGCCCTTTCCGACGACCCCAGCGTCACTGGTCACCAGCCCCTGGAGCAGGCAATCACTCAAGCGCTTTGTGTCACGAATGCGGTTTCCCCATTGAAGGTAGATTTGTGGCTCTGGCTGGATCGTCGGAGCGCTTCCATCCCCAATGCTTCAGCTGCTTTGCTTGTGGTACTGGTCTCGAGGCTTTGGAGATCAGTCCAGAGCCAGAGGCTCACCGCCATGATCGCCTGGACAGAATCCGACGTCGAGCCAATGGCGAGGTGTTGGAAGAGACGTCAGGCAAGACCATGGCCGAGGACGGCGACGAGCGCTTACGATTCTACTGTCACCTTGATTGGCACGAACTCTACGCCCCGAGATGCAAACACTGCAAGACGCCCATACTCGGGGAACATGTTGTCGCCCTGGAAGAACATTGGCACTACGGACACTTCTTTTGCGCGGAATGTGGTGATCCATTCGAGAAGGGTATGACACATATCGAAAAAGATGGATATGCATGGTGTATCAACTGTCAGACCAAGCGGACAGAGAGAAGGGCACCCAAGTGCAAGAAGTGCAAAACTGCCGTCATCGGACAGTACATTCGAGCACTGGGGGGTGAGTGGCACGATGAGTGTTTTCGCTGTGCCTCCTGCCAGGGCAGTTTTGACGACGGTCAAATCTTCCCCAAAGAGGTCGGTGACAGGGTGATGGTGCTATGCACAGGATGTCGTATGATAGAACTCAAGGCATAACGATGTCGTGAATAGACCGTTTGGCTGGGCGTTTGTCAAGTTGTTCAAGCTAGGCGCTGGGATTAAGGCATAGGGGAAGCGACTGCACTTTTATCGTTAATAGGTTTTCGGTCTTGTGTTCGAGCTTGTATAATGGGCATCGCGTTTGGCTAAGCACTGCAGGGAAAAGAGGGTCAGGGGGAAATCAAGTGGTAAAAGTCATAATCGTCATTGGCTGTCTTCATATGGCACTGTGAGGAGAATCGTGCATCCATGTACGCCATTTATGATGGCCAAAGCCTTCTCAAGAAGCAAGAAATCCATCGCTCCTTTGACTGCACCACCATGTTATTTCCCGTTCATCTTGCCTCCCTCCGACTAGAAGAAACCGCCAACCTGCTCTTGATGCACCTCAAGAGTGTCTCCGTCCGCCATCTCGAGCTGGTAATGCCCCTCGCGTTAGTATTGTATGCGATATCCGGGAAGCCGCGGAGCCAGTGCTTACCGTGTCTGGGGTATCCGTGGGTTGGACACGCTGACCCTCGAACAGAAATCGGACAGAGTTCATAGCCTTGCCTTGTCTCTCGCAGAAGGCTGTCATAAGTTTGTCGAGCTTAGTGGAGCGCTTGATCTTGAAGAAGACCTCGTTGTTGTTGTCGGTGACCTTAATGTTCAGGTGCTCAACGGCAGGCGCAGCATCTTGGCCGCCAGCAGACGGGCTTCCGTTCTCGTGTTCGCCAGACATTTTGAGGCTATTGCTGACGGGATAATGTTAGCATCGGCCTAAGGCTGTTATAGGGTTTGGTCATTTGGACTTTGGAGGGGTCGATGGAGTAGACTGATGGAGGTCGGATGGCGGATAAAGGATTGACAATTTGATACTCACGTACCTTGCGCTGTAGAAAGTGGCGGGCTCGATAGTATGGAGAGGGAGAAAAAAAAAAAGGAAACAAACTATGTTGCGAGGAGCAAGCGTTGCAGAGTTGACGAAAGGTGGTGGATGGGGAGCCGTGGTAGAAGGCGCATCTGAATCCCAAAGACAGCCCGCGCACTAGGTACCTAGAGAGGTCGGCAGAGACAACAGGTGAAGGTGGGACAGAAGGGAGTTGATTGGACGATGTGGGGCCAGTATTTTGGGTGGCTTAGTACCTAGTCCACTCTTCCCACCACAGATGCCGCCTGCCTGAGCAAGCCTTCAGGTAATGGAAGGTATCCGTACCTACCTTACCTTAAGTAAGATCCAATATCCGTACCTTCCACCTTCTTTTCTACCTTAGGTTCCCAGGCCACTGCACCATCATCACACAACTCTACCTATCCAGCTCTCCACCGGAGGTTGATATTTGACGCTTCCTGAAGGTTCGTGGATTACCCATCAGCACGTAGTATGTACGCAAACCTGAGGCCTCTTATTTACCCGTCCTTGCATAATTCCTCTTCTTTTCATGGGCGCATCGAGAGACATTCACGAAGTTGAGGTTCAATCCTGAAAGCAGCCTCTCGCTAACATGTCCATCATCCATCAAAGCCGCTCGAAACTTCGACGATTGGTGTGGTGTAGCGCAGCCGTTGGCGATCATCATGGTAGGCCCTCCTTCCTTGGACGCTCCTACGATTTAGCTGCTTAACAATGGATTGGAGGAAGGGTCAGAAAGAGGACTTGAAGGTGAACCCACCGTGCCATCCTCGTGCTGTAAGCCACTGTCCCACCCAGAGATCAACTCAATGGGAATCTGCCCTGACCCAGTTTGGTGCAGTGCGCAATTCAGGGTAGGTCTTCATCATCCTCTTTCTTACAGCTTCGTTGCTGTCGTGCAATGTCAAGTGCGAAACTGAGACAGCATCATCATGCCTAATTTGAGCTTACAGATTGCTTAACCAAGAACGGCTATAAGGAGGAGAAGTGCCAATCAGTGATTTTGTCCTTGTACGAGTGTTGTGAGGCTTTCTACCGGTCAAATGGGGAGAGCGCTGTGTCGGCCAGCTGTCCCAAGCCAGATCTACTTCGACTAAAACTTATGAGGTTACGCGAGGAATCGTGCGAACCCGCGTCGACCAATTAACCATCCGGGGGCGCCTGAAAAATGTACACTCTTCCATGTATATACGTTAACCCGAGTAGAGAAATCTGGCAACAATCAAGAAAGAGGGAGTTCTTCTAGGCATTCGTTGAGCGCGCTGAGAGACCCTTGGGTCTGAACAAGCATTGAGTGCTTATTCCGAGACTCTAATACAAAAGCCTTGACATTGAAGAGAAAAAAGAGAAAGAAATGGAAAAGAAAATTTCCAACAATGTGTATTGATAAAGGATATGGAAAGCGGGTCTGTACTGTGTCTCTATATCTGCAAACACAGTTCTTCAATGTAGTGATGGCGGCCTTTTGCACAGTGTTTGCTCTTGCCCCAAGATCTGACGCGACGCGCGCGCTACTACAAAGCGCACAGACCAGTTATGGGCTAGTCTACCTTTCACCCGGGACGTCTATTGCTCCCGCAGGCGTAAGGTGAAGCAGCCGCCTCATCGAGCTGCCGGCTGAGTTGTTTTCATATTTTTTTTCCCTTTCGGTAGGGGTGGGAGGTCCGATCAAAGGTCCCGATTCCGCTACGAAGGCCTGACTGCTCTAGACTGTTCTCTCTGTCTCAAGCGCCGAAACGTAGGAACTATTCCAACTCTGTAGAGGAACTGGATACGTTCTTGTGTGCTACAGGCTGAATAGGTTGCAGCTTCCAGCGCTGCGAAACATCTCAGGAAGTCATTCACAGTGCTAGATCCATGGCTTGACCCATCCACGCCCTGAAATCACATACACCCACAATTGCCCAGGACTTGTAAGCAGACGACTCACTGCATCAATTCAATTTGTTTAGAAATCTTGTTTCGGCTAACCACCGCGCACTAGGATCGCACCGGAAATCCATACCTACCCTGGTCCTATGCGCAACCTTGCTGACGACCGAAGATCGACCATTCCATATTGAAGTTAATGAGGCGACCAGCTACTTTCTGTCCTCAATTTGCGCAAACTTCCAATCGAGGTTCTCCTAGATTCCATTTCGTTTGACGATTCCATATTCGAAGATGGACGGAATTGGACCTGAAGTTGAAGTGTTCGCGAACATTCTCGACGATTGTCTCGCGGATCAAGGTACCGATGAGGACAAACGCGCAAGGGTCTTGGGGCTGGTAAACGCATACCACGACTATGCCGCCGAAAAGCTGTCGCAGTTGCGCGAACCACGCCGTCAGGGTTCAATTGGCGACAACGAAATGGACGTGGACGAGGAAGAAGAAGCAGAATCTGCGACAAGCTCAGAAGAGATTCGAGCGTGGCAGCAAGAGAGACAGACGTGGGATCTTATCCGTCGCCTGATTCCGATCAGACACTCTGTCCAAGACTTGACGAGCAAGCAAACTACGAACATTGGAGGTGATCTTTGGAAGGCATTTCTCGCAAACGATCAATCGGCCATGGAGAGGAAGGCTATTCTCGAATGGTTACAAGAGGGCGCGAGAGCTGGCTCCGACATCGACGACCTCGTTCGAGAACTGCAGCAAAACGCCGATAGAGGAGATATTATTGCCCACGGGTGGATACACACGAGGTCCGCCATCAAGCTGCAGAAGAGTGTGATTGGTTCTGCGCGCCCGCTTGACGTACATTTTCCCGAGGTTGCGCGCTCTCTCGTCAACTCTGACAGGGCGCCACTCGTTTCCGAGCTAGACCCAGACTCTGTGGTTAGACAGGGTCGGAAGTTGGAGCCACAGGATGAGTACTTTGAGAGGGCTATTTGGGTCGGCTGCTTCCAGCTTCTCCGACGGGGCTGCAGTTTAGAAGCTACGCGGGAGTGGTGCTTGGAGAGGACCGAAGTCTGGAGGGCTGTGTCCATGTCCGCCTTACCTCTCGCAAGTGGCAATGGGGAGACGAGCCTTGTCAAGGACCCTTCAGCGCTTGCACTTTGGAGACGCATGTGTTTTGCTCTTGCTCGTCAAGGCGGCAGCGATGATATTGAGAGAGCAGTTTATGGGGTGCTGTCAGGAGACATCCCTAGCGTGCAAAGAGTGTGCAAAACTTGGGACGACTTCATGTTCATGCATTACAACGCTCTGATTCGCACGCAGTTCGATGCTTTCCTTCTCAGCCAATGCTCCCCGGAAGTGTCAGCAACCATCCGCTCATCATTCGCCGCTTTCGACGCAGTTCAGTTCCACGGTGATGCTGCCACGTTGGAGCAGCGCTTGATCCACAACCTCGAGATAAGCCCGCACACGGGCAAGGAAGCCTTGGAACCTTCCAAAGCACTGCAGGCCGCCATTATTTCGAAAGACTTACAACGCCACTTCTACGAGCAAGGCGTTGCCATCACACAGAAAGCAAATTCAAAGGAGGCATCTGCGCTCATGCCCGACCATAGCTGCCGCAACATCGACGTAGTGGCGGAAAAGTTCGCCGACATCAAAAATCCTGATGGCCTGCGAGTAGCTGTTCATGCACTCATCATCTTTGATACACTCGATAAACTTGGGGGGTTGCAAGCGAACGCCGTAACCATGAGTTCGGATCATGATCGTCGTGAACTACAAGAAAACACGATTACACAGTACATCAGCCTCCTTCGTCTAGCAGGCTTGGAGGAATTGATTCCCTTGTATTGCTCTAGGCTTCATCCATCGAGAGCCTTCCAAGTGTTGAGCACAAACTTACTTCCCATCACCGACAGCGACGCTCGTCTAATCCAGCTCAGCCTCATTCGCAAAGCAGAGCTGGACGTTGTGGAGTTCGTCAAGGCGCAACCACGGTTCTTGTTCCAGAATATGGGCCCCAACACTGCTCAAGACCAAACAATGCGGGAGTTCCAGATCATGGACAATGGCCCGGCGTCTTTGAAGTACGGACGTTCCATCAAAACAGACTTCTTTGGGGAAGATCCCGAATCCATCGATCCGGTCGATGAACGATTGATCCGGTCAATGGAATGGCTGCTACTAGTCGACGAGGCCTGGCCCTATGTCTTCTCCATCGGTGTGGCGGTTTACAAGTATTTCCTGAGTATGAACCCGCTCTTTCCGAGTGAATGGCGTCTATCCGCTAACCAGACTCCGCATCGAACAGAAGCCATGCATTTGAATGCTGCCAGAAGCCTTGCGAACCGTGTACCATTCAGCAGCATTATGCGGACAAGCGAATCCTCTGAACAAGAAGAGAATGACCTCTGGTGGACAGAAGATGCAGAATTCTGGACTGACCAGGTCGAAGCTGCGGGTGCAATCAACCTTTCGCCAAGTCAAGTTGCATCGGACGCCAGGGTGTTACACGAACTTGAGTGTCTTGTGAGAGCCTTGGACACAATGGAAACTGTCGCTTCACTGGCGGAACTGTCAAGAGAGTATGTCACCCCGGTCTCGGGCCACTAACTCTTGCTGACCATTTGTAGGGACCCATCCGTCAAACGAGATTTCTGGACGAAGGTTGGCAACGAAGTCAAGTCTGCCAAAGCAAACGTGCGGCCACTGCTCAATGGTTGGCTGCTTGGTCAAGGTAATCCCCACCCCTTGCTTGCGTCCTCCAGTAAAACTAATGCGTTCCTGACAGACGATGAAGAGTTGAAAGCGTTGCGAGAGGCATACCTTCCTGAGACACTTCTCGCCTATGTCAGCACTCTTCATTTTGCCGGCACGGCGCTAACAAGAGATAACTTTTTGGAGTGTATGGAGCTGGCGGCCACCATTGCGGAGAAGGACTCGGATGTGGCAGCCTGCTTCACCAAGGCTGGGCGGATGAAGGAATTGGTTGAGTGTTTTGCTACCTGCAGCAAAGCTCTGGCAGTTGCCTCGGGCGAAAAGAAGGCGGCCAGTTCAAGCAGCAAGAAGCTACGTGAAATGGGGTGGTCTCGGGATCTTTGGTCCGTAAAGCACTGAATTAAATAGTTTATTGGCGAGTAAGCGGCTGTTAGGGATAGGGAACAGGCTGAGGCCGCCACTAGATATGTATTACGTCTATATGAGATTCAGTTGGCCACTCAGAGAGCCTTCGGCTGGGCAGTCTGGGTCCCTGATAGACCAAGGGTCAATCGGCCGAGAAGCTGATTAATGCACGGGTCGTAGCAGTTAGATCGAGACATTAAAAATGCACAAATAAAGAGTATAATAGTAAGGGGAGAGAAAACTCGGGGTTTTCTTGACTTTGTGAAATATTTGCGATAAGTAGGTCACATTAATACTGATAAATTAATGTATACCTTTGGAACTGTAATATATAACATGAGTTTGACTACTTAATAAGTGATTAAATAAGTGCTTAGTAATGAGCATGTTCCCTTTAGTAGGAGCAAGTGGATTTGAGTAACACGCGGGGTGCACTGCCACCCGGTACAGGTAAGGTTCCTATCCGTACTTCAACGTCATTAAGCCCCAGCCACATCGCATACTGTACCACCAAGCTGTTGACCGAGCGCTGTCAACATCTCGTTATCCGTATGAAGTAATTTGAACGGCCTACCGGATTTTCCTGCCCTGTGGCTCGAAATCTTTCGCGGTACTTAACTATTGGTTTGTCGTGGCAAAGCATTTGTTCGGCTGCGTGCTTGTATCGACATCATGCATGATCCACCACCACCTGTACTTCCACCCAAGCCGGGCAGCCACGACACAAGTCGTATCGGCACGCCGATTATGGTCAACTCACCCTGGCCAGGCACCGGTGTTGGGCCTGATGCGGAGAGTGCAGGTGGGAGCCGTTCGAACCAGGTCACTCAGCCTGCCGGGCTCGAAATTGCCCGACCCGGGCCCGTGCCAGACCCGGGTGAACAGTGGCTTCCCAAGGTGTTGCAGGACAAGGCGTACGTTCTTGGTCATGGCAGTAACATCACCTGCCATTGTCTTCTTCCTCTTGGCTGATTGATGATGGTTCTAGGAAACATGATCTCGCTGATATAGCGACGAATGTGGACCTCCTCAACGCCCTGACACATGCACCAAGTGCGATCCATCCATCTCTCTCATCATCTCACAAAGCCCTTCAAGCGGCGTTGACCGAGAATCTTGAGCTTGCGTCGCGGCTTGTCGAGCTCGAGACTCGTCTGGCCCTCCAGCGGTCCACAACGCAGGCCCAGCTTCTTTCGACGCATGCACTCGAGCGCCAATGGCGGCAGAAGCAATCCGACATGGATCACGCTTTAGCACCCTTCTCCCCGGCTGCCATGTACCAACGTTTGGGGCAAGGTGTCCATGAGCAGGCATCTGTGTGCCACGTCCTAGAGGAGAGCTTCATCGATGGGGAGGGAGATGGCGCGTATGCCTCAGAGAGAGAAACGTTGGACTGGATCAAGAGATATCGGGATGCCAAGGTGCTTTACAATCTCCGGCAAGAGAGGAAGGAGCGGTGGGATGAGGGCCGCGTTGGGGGCTGGAGGTGAACCTGTACGAGTCCAGAAACTGGTGTGTGGAGTTTCAGGTGAAGGTGATTTGAGAATACGGCAATGTAGACCGCCAGAGAGGAGTACCGGACGGATTGACGGCATTCGGCGATATGGAGGAACGGTAAATAGCACACGACTATTACAACTATTCAACGCTGATACTTCTCTCCTGGTGTCTTATGTTCTTCTCCAGTGTCAGTATCAGTGGCGCCAGCGCAAATTTCCACATCTTGCTAGCAGACGTCCGAAAGAAACAGCTTACGAATGAGGGATGAGACCAGATGTTTCGGAACAGTAGCATAGAAATTGAATATATGCCACGCCAAAATATGTACAGATAGACCCTATGCTGCGCAGCATGGGTCCTATCAGAGTGTTATTTGTGGCTTACACATGAATAAGTGCTATGTCCCTGACTGACATCTCTTTCTGGCTAAAAGAAGAGATGAGAAATGTGAAGATAGATCACAGCCCCCATGCCCCTTTGACATCATCGTCGGGGCAACCAGAGCGGAAACCTGCCAGCCCAGTAGTGGACTAGGAGCGACTGCCATCTTCAGACGAGGCTGAAGGGACTCCGTTTCATCTCAGGATTACGAGGGCTCATCGGAAGTGCAAAAAGCTCCTCCTCCTGGTCCTGATCTTGCTGTCTCGGATGAAGACTGCTTCCGCCAAGCATGGCATCCAACGATGCCGAACCTCCCAGAGATGAATTCTCGGTTGTCGTCTCCCGCGCAGAGCTCGAGAAGGAGCGCAAAACCATGTCACTAGAGGCGGGCGAGAAGGATTTGGGCCGAGGATGGGCATTCTTGTCTATGAGTCGCAAGTCAGTCGTGATTAGTCGAGAAGTAGGAAAGCCTCCAACAGGCGTCTCACCAGCCGACCCAGCAATCAAATCAGCTGCAGAAGTCGCGAGTTTTAGCCCCTCCAGCTTCTTTCCCAGTCTACCACCGACAAGGGGTTGAGGTGAGATGGGGCTTGGTAGAGCTTGTGATGCGGACATCGTCCGGCCCCCGACGGCAGCTTTCTTCGGAGTGATACCAAAGTAAGTGACGATCCATTGCTGCTCTTGGAGCACCATTTCTAGGCCGACGCTTTCGGGGTTTGTCGTCATCTCGGCATCGATCTCTTCTTGGAGTTCACTTAGTCTTTTCTTGGCCCAGATGGTGTGAAGAACCCCGCGTGTCCCAGCATCTAGCTCACTGGCACCCAGGGCTGGCGGGAAGATGGCGGGAAGGGGATTGATGGCGATGGTGGTGCCGTCATGACGAGTAATGTTAACGATGGGAGGGACGAATGCACCTGGGGGGAGTAGGAAGTATACACGCTTATGTGTTCCTTCAAAGTCATCGCTCGATGGAAGATAATTTGCCTTGCCATTCCACGATACTTCCCAAGCCTTGGATGGCGGCGCCGAGATTTTGGATGTTGTCAGAGAGAAAGTTGGCGACAGCGAGAGATCCCATTCAACCATGAGGATCTTGGTGCCTTCGTTGCCCTTGCCTGACTCGAACTCGAATCGGGCAAGGGCAAAGGGCGTAGGGCTGGCGGCAGAATCGGGATCGATGCCTGCCAGCCGACCGGGAAGTTGCGTTCCAGCCGACGGCAATTGAGGTGGTAGTGAAGCCCGTGTGCTATCCAGGGTCTCCATATCTCTATCTCCGGCCGGTTTTGACCCGATGGTGGTCCGGTAGGAGATCCGGCTGAGGTGGGTTTCTCGGGCACGATGCGGTGCGGGGCCGGGTGATTTGTGGCCTGCTCAAGTACCATAGCTCGGCAGACTCTGTTCATGCATTGCGCACTTCTCCTTCAGCGCCGGACAGGAAAAGCGGAGGGTCTGTCGGACACTGTAGCGGCCAGTAGAAACAGTCCGTCAGGTCTGAGTGTACAATGATAATTGCTTGCAGCGCGTCGAGTGAGACGGGAGTTTCGGTTGGTTCACGGACAACGTGCTCGGATGAAGGCGAAGGTTTCGAAACGGAGGAAAGCAATGGAATGCTTGCACTGGTAGAAAGAACTTGGCACAACGACGTGACTAGAATGAGATCAACGGAGAAAGTACGTACGTAGACTTGGCGATATATGGGATGCGGCGACGGGAAAGGAGATGGATGCAACTCGACCACGGACGGTTGTGGTTGAAGCAGGTGATACCAAGAATACTCAGTTGGCATTTGTAAATGCATAGAGCATTTGTTACATTTTGAGCAATAGAATGACGAGGCAAGGCAGTGAAACAGTCTGGCGAGAAATGAAGACGACTAAGCAGTCCAACGACGCGCTAGAGGCAAATAGGCTTGTGATATCCCAAGTTACCTTGATAAGCATTAAGAAGCGCCTGGCCGCCCAGCCTTTAGCAAGTGCGGCAGGTTCACTCAAATTGATAGAGCCCTGCTAGTGATGAATGTTCTGGGCTCCCTATTCGTAGAAGATGAGATCCAAGATTGAGGAAATGTCCATACCGGAAGTGCACTACCACATGATAGTTGTGCCAAAGATAACGTGTCACAACGACGTTTTTTTTATCTTAAAAAGGATTGACCAGCAATCAGTGGATGCTGTAAGCGTGTTATACGTGAATATGCAATATGGAGTATTTGGCTTTTATGAGGGATAGGAGTAGGCGCAGAGATAAAGTGCCATAAGAAACATCTCCACCTCTGCCCACTCTGGGAGCAGAAGAAGTCTAGAAGATGGCATGTAGGTACGAGTACCGGTAGATGGCAATGACCAGTGGGGTGCGTTTCTGCGTCCATCCCGGTGCAGCTTCGAGAGCGGAGGAAACGCGGAGTAATGTAGAGGGGATGGAGCACACTTGCAATACTTGTGATTTGGTGAAAAAGCTGGAGCAGATCGAAAGGGGAGTCACCAGTGCCAGTGATAACGGAGGAAATCGCACAAGTACACGGGGGATACACGGGGGATTCTCGGCCGATATCGATGTCCACGGTTGGAGACTGGCCAGGGAAAATGGCTCCGTGGCTCCCCAACACAACAAAGTAGGTAGCCACATGTGAGCTAGGAGCGGATCGAATAATTGTACCTACTCCCGGAAAACGACCTGAAAGGTCGGGGGACACTGGGGAGAAATTATCGGCTGTGACGAATGCGGAGGGGACAGAAAGGCCGCGGTAGGCCCGAGGTGCGCTCCACCACGCCATCTCGATTTTCTGATGCCTGGTACGGGGCACTTTATTACTTGCTTACCTGAGATAGGCAGTTAGGCATCTTGGCATCTAAAGCACCTTAGAAGAACCTGAGGAAGGACCTTAGGCATCACCCAAGCACCCCTACGCACTTCCCCGGTATTTAACTAGTTGTACACTCCAGCCCAGCCCAGCCCAGCCCAGCTAAGCGTGTACGTCTCTCCCCACCCCCGTCCAACGCTGCTTGTTCATCCGAGACAGCGCCTAGCCGCTTGGGTAGGTTCCATCGCTTCAACTTCGGCCACTTCGGTCCAATCTACCGCGTTCCAACTCCCAAGCGCCAAGGATCCATGCTTTATTCATAGCCAACCATGACATACAGATACATTAGTATTCATTGTTCTAGTTGGTAGACCTTGACTTGATATGGCATGCGGTATAAAGGGTAAGGTACAGTACGGACGGGTGCACATATACATCTCCAAGGACCTTCCAAGGGAAGTCTGGCGGTAGTGACACCGAAGGTGAGACACGTTTAGTGTATAACCTACAAGATAAACAGTGTGCTTTTTACATACCTACGAATACCTTAGCTTACTTAGCCAGGTGCCTTATACTTAGCTTCTGTGGGTAGGTACTAGGTAGTGCCTCCCGAGTGCTTGCTTTGTGGCGCCCGCGGGGCCATGCCACCCGTAAATGGTAAAGGCGTGGAAAACACTGAGCCCGGATCGATGGCGCCGGCGATACCCGCTGGCCCTCTCATTCCAGCCGGCTGAATTATGAGAACGAGGCGAAACATGGGGAATCATTAAGGATAGCAAGATTGTGAAAGTGAACTTGAACTGGCCGACATCTTTTTGGCGCACGCCAGGCGATTGATATCTCTGCCAATCTGTACATTGCAGTCTGGTCCCTCAACTTACCCCTCTGGTCCTCCAGCCAAACCCATCGACAGACAGGCCGTCAGGAGTCAGGACTGATGGCTGTCGAAGAGTAGGGTTCTAGACTGGACATGTACCAGATGATGCATTTGATATATGACTGTCTCGGGCGTACTTTGCAATCGGCCCTGGACATCGGTGCAGGGAGGTCTAGGGCAGCTCATCTTCCATCAGCAGTAGACGTAGGCAGGTATCGACGCGATTGGATGCACTGAGTGGATGGGGAGCGACGGACACGGTACTGATCGGGAGTCAACGGTGGGGACGAGAATTGAGGTGGCGCGAAAGCATCTGTCGTTCAGAGCTTCTACTGTGACGTCCTACCACCTCGCTGGGAAGCCATCACGAAGATGGTGCTAGAGTGAGGCATAACAACATCGTACAATGATAACTTGCTGAGTGCGCCAGCAAGTCTGGCGTGTCGGGCTTTGCAACACGAAGAAGCCAATTAAACAAAAGCGGGAACAGGACTTCGCTTGGATCTCCCTTCGGCTTCTCTGCTAGATCACTTGTACGACCCAAGGCATGGATGGCTATGAGTGCATAATACGTTGCGCCCGCTGGACTTAGCCGTGAGGCATCACCCACCTGGTGCGGGACGATGGCCGACAGGTGCCCGTTTCCACTGGCGAACCAAAAGCTGCTTTGTCGCAGGTCGTTGATGGCAGAGGTATTGTTTGCTCCGAAGATTGGAAGTCGGCGGAAGTTGGCGCGGCATCGGGCGGGTTCAACTCTAGGTATCCGGGCTCGACGCTCGACGACGGGATGGGAAGTGGAGACGGGCAAGCGCCATATGGCCCGTATAACAGCCGAGCAAAGGAAGTCCGATGTTGAACATGCCGTGTACGTACCTATCTCGCCGATGAAGAGATTACCATTGTGACAGTCGCAATTGCAGTTGCGATTGGAGTCAAGAAGTGTAGTTCGTATGGCAAGATGGTGAAATTGGAGTCGGGGAAGGTCATAAGGTATTTAGGCCGGAGTCGGAGGGCAAGGGGATTGGGAAGTAAAAAAAAAAAAACCACCACCATACATTGTAGTAACTCGATAGGAAGCATGCGACTTACAACTTCCAAGTTACCAGGATGTGGGGGTGGAAAGCTTCGTCCGCGCACTTTTACGGTGCTTTGCTCGGCCGCTCTCTCGCGCTTCCGCCGCCTACGTTCGTTGTTGTACTGTGGTGGTAAAGGACTAGACACACGGTAATGTACCCATAATTGATAAATGGGGTGAAGTACGTAGGTACCTACCTAACTACTGCGCTCCTGCACGCTTCTCTGGGCTCTACAGGATACCTACCTCCACGGCCCTTGCTTTTCCGAAGACCCAGTGGAACCAGTCAACGCCGCGGACCACAGTGCCAGAAGCCGCATCGGGATCATCAACACCCCCCAGACCAGCAGGTGCCCTTCCTCACCTGGACCTCCACTAATTCGCCGCACATACCGCCGGGCCACCCAGATTCAGCGAACGGCCGATCCCTCTCTCGCTTTGCATCTATGTCGCCTCAGTTCCTGACCTGCACACCTGCTGCTCCCGTTGCCTTTTCTTTACCTAATCTCATCATCCGTCACCTTACCTGCGTCTGAGGAAAGAGTCTGTCTACCTCAGCCTCCCCTTGTACGAATACCTACCGTAAGATCCCATCCCCGAAGTAGGCTTGACTATACGCGCGCCGCCCAAAGAAAGTTGCTACCGGGGCACTCTCCACCCAGCAAGGAACCTGACTGCACCACCACCGCCTTTCTCCCTCTACCATACTGCCTTCCAGAGAGCGACCCAACCTTGACGGGCCTACCTAGCACCCTCTCTGTCCCTCTGTCCATCTGTGCCCCCTCCCTCCTCCTCCTCCATTTCCTTCTCGCACCTCACATCCCGACCAACTTCGAGCACCACGTCCAAAACGTCACCACCCCGTCCGTCCTGTATCCCTACACCACCATCGTTCGCCTTTCGTCTCCTTGTTCGACTCGTCTTCATCGCCTACTCTCATTGACAATCTTTCCTCCGGCGTCGATCCGTACCCCTCGGCCCATCTCGCCAGACATCGGGTCTCGACGCCTTGCATTGCCATTATCGTTGGTCATCGCCCGTCGCCCGTCGCCCGTCGCCCGTCGCCCGTCGCCCGTCGCCCGTCGACCTCACGACCTCGCAAACCACCCTCCAAGATACTATCCCAATCGAAGCTGGGTGGAAGCCTGGACAAGAAAATCACTGCTTACGACATTTCTTTGCCTCCAAGACATCGTCGATTTCCTCCAATGTTCAGCCATGTTTGAGCCGCCAATGCCAGGCATAGTCGACTCTCCGATTTCCGCCCGTCGTTAACCCACTATTCTGTACACAGCGTTCCTCGACCACATGCTGGACTTCCTCGACATTGTTTTCTCTTACTGCAGGCAGAGGCATCGTCTAGTGCGATAGCATGAACATGGATCCGCCACACATCACCGAGTTCGCTTCCGAGCGCTACTTCAGCAAACTCAACCAGCTCAATGAGACGCCTGCTACCCGCGAAGCCCAGTACCTTCACCAATTTCGCAATCCTCAGACGCCTTCCTCTCAACCACATCCCTCCCCGCCGATATCGTCCCAGTCAACCTCTACCTTTATTCTGCCGTTACGGACGTCCAAGTCAAATGAAGGCAATGTTGAGACCCCCCGGTCATCAGACCAGAAGCGTCCCGAGAAGAGCCGGCTGTTCAGTCTGAGATCCAAGGTCTCGATCCTCCAAAACAAGGCATTAGCACCTCAACCAGACTACCGTGAACAGAATACGGCGTTTGTGAAGTCAAAGACGTTAGCCATCCCTCCAAAGTCGAACTTGAATTGCTGCCACCAGTTCTAACATATAACTAGGCAATCCCTTGGCCAGTTGTTCCTCGCCCTACCTACTGAGCTTCAGATTCAAGTCATTTCTTCGCTGCCACTGACAGACGTCTTGAATCTTCGCAGGGTCTCGAAATCGTGGCACGCTATTGTGACATTGAACGAGGCGCCCATCGTTCGACATCATCTGGAACGTCACATCCCGGCATACGCCTTGCGTTTATACCCATCTAGCGACCCGACTGCCGCTAGTTTTCATCATTTGTGTGGCTTGTGGCATCGGTTACATGTCGCCGCGAAATTGTCATACCTGATGTGCGAGTGGATCACTAAGGAGATCTTCCTCCGAACAACAGAATCACAACGTCTAGAGTTCGCTCCTCAACATGAACGTATGCGCCGACGCCTGATCCCGCTACTTTTCACCTTGTTTCATTTCTTCGAAACGTACCGAAAGCTGCATTTACAACACATTCTCGACCACAATGGTCATGGCTTGCTGCACGAGCCATTCACACTGAACCCAATCGAAGCTCGGATCATGAACATGTACGACGATCAGACGCTTTTGCGGGTTCATCAAGTCTTCCCTCTGGTCATTTCATCATTTTGCCGACGGTTACGCCCACCATCTTATGCCGGTCGCGTTGAACGATCATTGCGAGGCTACTTGAAGGAAAGGCCTCCAGATGAGGTTCACGTTGCCATTCTCTGCGTTGGAGGCTTGCGGCAAGTGGAGAGACTTTGGGAGATCAAGGGATACAACAGTAGAAGGGGAGCTGTTGATGTTTGGTACAACTGTGTCGCAAAAGACCCGATCGACCCGACCCCAAAACAGCGACGAGGCATCATGGGCATGGGCCGAAAAAAGTCATCGATTTCAGTCAAAGATTACGCCAAATCGACGCACCAGGACGGAATTTCAACGCGACGCACTTCTCGGGGATCTTTAGAAGACCCAGTTGATTCCGACACGAATTTAGTATTCAACACAAGCCTAGCGGCTGGCATGCCCATGGGGCCGCTGGAGCGTGAGCACGTCCGACACGTACTAGCTGACCTCCCTAACTTACAAGAAATCTGGCTCAAAACTGCGGAAGCTGTGATACTGGAACGGGGTATTGTTGGGCGTACCCAGGACATCAAACGCAACGCACAAGTAATGTTGGAATTAATTCGCGATGATGGCATGGATGAGGAGGACGAGTGGTGTTACGGACGAAGTACACCAGAATCAATTCGTCCTCCGCTCGAAGCGATAGACGAAGATGCTATGGACGGCGCATGAGAATGGCGTGGTGTGTTGAGCATTTAAGGGCGTTAAGGTCGGCCTGAAACTTGGCCCAGTGGAACCCAAGCGGTTGTCTTTTGATATTTGACTTTTACAATGTTCTACTTTGTCAGGGCCAGCATGGAGAGGGGTGCAATAACTAGGATTTGGATAAAGATACCAACATTAAACTGTCTTCATAGTCCTTTTATTGTCTTGTAATATCCAGGACCGGCGTTTGCGGGATTCATTTACCCTCAGCAGAGTCAACCTATCGATTTTCGGAGCAACACGCCTTTCGAATCCACGTCTGTCTCAGATCGTCTCATTACTTGTTGTCCTGGCACAAAGCGAGGTAGGAAGTTAGTAAGACCGGGTCTCCGTATCGGGCGACAGCCAAAACGCATCATGTTATAAAAGAATAGCTTAGGGCAAGCCTACTGTTGCGAACTGAGACAGCCGATGTGAGGATTTAGCCTGAGCCCTTGCTACCAGCCATCGTGACGACTGTGAGAGGCAGTTGCAGGAAATTGCCAATGCCACGATGCCCCCAATGGCGATGCAAGAGACGCTCATTGCAGCTACCTCTGTCTTTATCTAGTGACGTCTCAAAGTATGATACATGCGTTCTCTCATTGCAGATTCCGTCATGCCGCCATCAAAAGACGACTGGCCTAAGCTTGACGAGCCATATGTCGGGTTCATGTTGGGTGATGCACGCTGCATCTCCGCATCGTTGACATTGTACTGTGTCGGATTTACTGTTAAGCTGGTTTGGCTAGCTGTGTCTAGCCCCGCCATGTCCAGAAATGCCGAGTCGGGATAGTCTTGGAAAGACGACATCCCAGTGTTCTGCGTTGGGTGATCCTGTCGTGCATGGAACGTAGAATTCTGATGCTGCAAAGGGCGCGACGTCGAAGTCCGGTAATTGTCTTCTCGCATGGTCGCGGATACGGTCATATGAGTGCTGTACGCAGGTGGCTGAACACCCACTAACCCGTGATACTCTCCGTCACGTGTAGACGCTGTATAGTTGTCCCCGTTTTGGTCTAGTGTTGGCGGAATTTGGCCGGTAACTGAGCTGCTAAGGCGATGCTGGCTGCCATTCGGTAGGTTGCGTGAAGCTGGCTGGTGTTGCTCTTGCTGACGAAAGAGACGTTGCTGCTGTTGCCCCTGAGCCGGTCCATCTTGGTTGTACATGCCGTGCCTTGATGACACGTTCAAGGAGTAGGAATCAGTTGTCTCAATCCTTTCAGCTTCTCGCCCGGCGGGTGAGGTTCTTAGGCTTTGGCTATATCCAAGCAGCGGGTCAGATTGAGCTTGCTGCGAGTTGAGATGGAGCGGGGATCGGTTTGTAGAAGCGGTTATGTGGTTTCTCGACCTCTGCAAATTGGAATTATCGGCATCCATAAGGCTGCCGTTGCGAAGGTCTACTCGCGTTGGCTCTGTTGATTGTGGCCCGCGTTGGCCTTGCTGTCCAGTCTGACTGTTATGGCTAGCTTGCGTCATTCGGCTGTTTGTAGGAACATCTTGGTGCGGCTCTTTATAAACCTTCTGTCTCTTGGTCACTGGCTGATGGGTAAGCGTGCCATCCTGACCTTGTGAGCCTTGAGACCGGGTCACCTGCGGCGATGGGAGGTTCTCGCTAGTAATAGCAGTAAGCCCACCGGCGGGGTTTGGGCTAGAAGGCGAGGCAGCTATCAACGGATCATTGTTAGAACTGCTGATTTTGCCTTCTTGAGAAGCTTTCCGTTTACGCATTGCGACTGTGGAGACCTCACTGGCTTGTGGCTTAATCGCAGCGGATTCGCTAGCAGTCTCCGACACCAACCGAGAAGCCAAGCTTATTTGAGTACCAGGTCTCTGCTCGTGCTGTAGGTCTCGCGTGGGTGATACGGAAAAAGCAACAGACGGCGGCTGAGCGGAAGCACCCAATGCAGCGGACTGCGGCCCATCCCGTTTGTCATTTGCAGTCAACACAGACGATGTCGGATGAGATTGAGAGCCAGGTACAGGTGCCGGTTCTTTCGGGCGATTCTTGGATCCCTTAGGACGACCAGGGCCCCCTTTGCGTTTCTTAACGAGCGGCACTCCGAGCTCGCTAGGGCCGGCCGAAGTGCTCAAGTGTACGGACATGCTTGAAGATCCGGGAGGATCAACAGCCATTCGCTGGACAGAGAGACCTGTCGTTGTGCTCTCAAATGCATCATTCGTCTTCTCATGGGTATCATGAGTCAAAGGTGTCTTATCTTTTGGTCGGTTTTTCGAGCCTTTGGGTCTACCTCTTCGCTTAGGGGTCGGCGTGATGGTAGGGGTCTGAACGGAGCCGGATCCCGGCATTCCGCCGGGAGCACCTGGGCCGCATACTGCCCGACTGGATACTGGAGTCGTGACCACTCGCTCGATGTCCCCTTGCGAAGCGTCCCTGTCAGTGTCTGCGACGGTGTCATCAATATCGACCCAGCTATCATCCATCGCAAACCTCTCCACCATATCATCGCCGGCACTGTTGTCCGATGCTATTTCTGCTGCACGAGCTCCTGAAGCCAGTCGCTGCCCAACAAGGTCAACCTGTTTGCCCTTGGCATTTCTGCTTCCTTTGGGACGACCGCGTGGTCGTCTCAGATTCGCTTGCCGTGCGCTCGGTATTGATTCTTGACCGAGAGCCGGAAAGATCTCAGCCAGCCAGCCAACAAACAGAGACCCAGGCCCATTCGCCTCGGCGCTGACCGGAAAGGATCCGCCGGGCGATGTGTGCTCGTTGGCAATGCCGCCAAAAAAATTCAGTGCCTTGCATAGCTGGTCAACAACCAAATCGGGATGCAGGCTTCGCAACAGAGTCAGGAGTCGAGCTCGTTCAGCTATCGTCTCGGCAGCCGTGAGTGGCGAGGCCCTCCCCCGGGCCGTTTTCCAGACTGTCTCCCGGACTGCATTGAGCTGCAGTGCGTTGAGCTGCGGTGGTGCGTCGAACTGCGGCGGACTATTTGAGGCCTGACCTTCTGGTCGATAGACAAATTTACTCCGTCTGATAGGAATGTAACGGTCTGTTTGGGCCAGTCTGGCTGCAAGCTGCGTTCCCTCACTCGTGCGTTTGGCTGCTGCATCGCGCTCCCGAATTTCGTTGGTGGTGGTGAGGTCTATATGCATAACTCCAAAGTTTCCTTTCCTCGCGTCTGTTTTGCCCTTCAGCTTACTAGGCACAGGGTTACGGACACGTCCATCTCTGTAAAGGCCCGGGACGTCATCTTGGACCGGCGGACCAGTATGTTGTAAGACACCAAACCCATTCACTGCGTCTATATCGCGAATATTAGCAATGCCCTGGTAGTGATCTTAATCGAGCAGCCGATGAATAGTAGCATCGGACGGATAGGTATGGTCGACAAACCTCTCTCACCCGTGAGGCCTAGTGCAGGGATTCGCGGTGCAGAACCATTGCGGATGCCAGTGCCAACAACGGTATCGGTGCCGGCAGCGGTAGAGGTATCGGCAAGAAATGTGGGCGGCGCCGCGGGTTTCGAGGTTTGAGGAGATGCTTTGCAGGCTACGGTTAGCCAGGGCACAGGAAACAGGTCGCCAAATGCTCAACGCCTACCTGCAGTTGTAGCCATAGCTATGGGCGACAGTCGCATCACAGATTGAGCATCATCCCTCAAGAAGAAGACCGAAACGCAGCCGTACCTCTGTGGCTTTCTCACCACAGGGAGGAATGCTGCTTAGCCCTTGGTCTGGCTGGCGATGGGTATGTATGCTTCTACTCGCGATAGCTAGAGGGCATCACGAAACCTTGACTGGATCACCGAGGCAACTCGACAGCATGCGATATTTTGCCGAGTCAGCTTCTCTTTTTGATAATCCGTCGGTGCGAGCTGATCGTCATCGTTGTTCGATTCGGCCGAGGTAAGGATTCAGATTGCAACAAAGCGAGAAATACTCGATCGTTCAGGGCCACCGATTGTAGATAAATTGGTAGTACCTAGGTAGCGAAAGCTGGCGGTGCAAATTCGCAACGAATGAAGAACGAAAAACAACAAATGAAACCACAACCGGCCGGGCGATACAGAAATTACTCTCTGTAGAGACGCAAGTGGCTGTCCGAATTGAGGAGATATGGCGTGAGCATCGGGACGTCGAGCGCAGAGGTTAAGTCAGTGTATCAGCAGCGGCCAATGTAAAGTAAAGCGGCAGCTACTTACCTAGCTGGAGGTATTCACATCAGACCCGCTGGCTGCCTATCACCGACTGATGCACCACCACCTACCTGCTCGTCGTCGGTGACTAATGCGGCCCACTGGCAGTACCTGTCTAGTATCTTTACAGGTAATGTATCTTACTCCGTGCCTCTCTTACCTCAGGTAGGCATTCGCACCTGATGACGGTCTGCGTACCTACCTTATCCCCTTCGCAGCTAACAACCTTTGCTTACCCTAGGGGCTACATGAGCCCAGTACCTACCTTAGCCCAGTGGTTTGCAGCTTAGCACTCAAGCCTCTCCTCCACTAATACTACCTCAGGCAGTACTGCTCTCCATTCCGCCCCAGTCCTCAAATCCCACCTTCAAACCTAGCTACCCATGTCCGATTTCCCTGCTGTATTAGTTCACATTGTCATTGCTCATTAGTGGGTGCTCCTCGACCCCGACCTCCAGGTAAATTGACAGCCTCTCGTCTTTTCTATATTGCATCGGCCGACGTCCAGCTAATCCCGCCTACCTTCCGGCAGCTATCTCAACACCACTTATTGACCTTACCTCACCTTGCTGACCTGGACCTTCCAAGGCTTTGATTTAACGAAACGCATGGATAGCTAGCTAACCAGCGTCCGACCCAGATCGAAAAGCATGTCGACCAAGTACGCCCTCGTTTCTCTGCCTCTTGGCATCTTCGATTCTGGCGACAGAGAAGACGCCATCTCCTCGTTGAGCGCTACCATTTCCGCCGAGAATGGTAGTGTTCGCTCATTCAGCATCCCCGATTTCAAAATCGGCACCTTGGACGCCTTGGTTCAACAAGCCGACGACCTGGCCAAGTTAGAGTCCACCTGCGAGGCTGTCGTTGCCAAAGTCGCCGACTCGTTGAAATCAATCCTCGATGGTGACGAAGACAAAATCTCCCAGCAGAAGATGGTCAACGACAGTGAGAAACGTCCAGGGCGCCACGTCGTCGCTGCTGCCCGTTCCAAAAACCCCTTGTACGTGTCGCTAAAGGCATTTGTGTCTTAGAGCCCACCGATCAATACGTCAACTCGTTTTCCTGGAACAAGATCCGCTACCGCGCCGACAAACCTTTGAGCGAAATCGTCGATACATTGCAAAAGGTATGTGGAGAGAGGGTGCGCGGGGGCCAACATTTTTAGGGGGGAACTTTGCCTGAATGCCCCTGTCTCGCGTTTGACATCAACGTGGGCTGCAATCCTGAGAGTGAGACCACAAAAGGCTGATGAGCCACTAGGAACTTGTCACCACCGATAACGATGTCAAGAGCAAGTTCAACCAGTATAACTCAGTCAAGACAAACTTCACCACGCTTCAGCGCAAGCAGACGTACGTATTTCTCCCAATGCTCGCACTTTCTTCTTGCCCTACAACAAATCGATAGCTGATAGCGGCATCGCAGTGGCAACCTTGCGACAAAGTCCCTCACTCCCATCGTTGATCCGGCACTCCTCATCCAGGATTCGGAATACCTAGAGACGCACTTAATTGTCGTGCCGAACAATGCAAAGAAGGATTTCTTGAAGAGTTACGAGACATTGGCACCGATGGTGGTCCCCCGATCTGCTGTGCAGGTTGCGACGGACGAAGAGTTCACCTTGTATGCCGCCACATCCTTCAAAAAACACAGTGCCGAGTTTCTCGCGAAATGTCGCGAGCAAAAATGGACTCCGCGTCAATACAAGTATGTCGAGGGCGGAAAGGAAGAGGAGCAGCGTGAGCTTGATCGGGTGGCTCGGGAAGAGAAGAAGACGTGGGGAGAGGCTCTGAGAATCGGCCGGACAGGCTGGAGCGAGAGCGTCATGATCTGGCTTCATGTGCTCGCGTTGCGCGTGTTCGTTGAGGCTGTTCTCCGCTACGGACTTCCGCTCGATTATGTCAGTGTTCTTATCAAGGTCAGCACTTCTATTCCGAGTTTGAATAATCGCACAAGGTGCTAACGCGGTGGATAGACGAATTCGAAGCTAGTCAAGAAGGTCAAGACAGCACTTGATTCCAATTACTCATATCTAGGAGGCAATGCTTTTGGTAGAGACAAGCGCGGGAAAATCACCAAAGACGACGCAGCACTGTCATCCGAGATGGCTGCGGTTGGTCTTGGTGGAGGCGAGGGTCACGAGTACACGGCCTACGTTTACTACGAATTTGATTTCTCTTAAATGCATGGGCCTCAGTGGTTGCGGCGTGGCGGTAGCAGATACTCCAGCGCTTGAGACTTGGAGCTTTGTACTGAAGACGCGTAGTATATTTAGAAGAAGGCTCTGGCTATGGCCGGTCGGCAATTCCTAGTCGTAGAACAAGATGAGAGCATGCCACCCATGCAATCGAAGAACTGCTATACATTAGGTTGTTTTACTTGCAGTAATGAGACCCTCCTTGATCAGCCAATCGGCAATCTGTGCCACGCACTCCTCGACACTCGATTTGTCGGTCCTAATGACAATTTCCGGCTTCTCAGGCGCCTCATAGGGGGCCGAGATGCCGGTGAAATCCTTGATCTCTCCCGCCCTAGCCTTCTTGTATAGACCCTTGGGGTCACGCTGCTCGGCAACCTCGAGGGGCACGTCGACAAATACCTCGATGAATGGAATGGCGTCGTCACTGTTCTGGCTCGTCTGACTATGCAGCTCGCGAGCTACTTGGCGGTCGGCGCGGTAGGGCGAGATAAAGGAGGTAATAGCGACAGTTGAAGAATCAGCAAACAGTTTGGCAACCTGCGGGCGCATTAGATGAACACTCAATCAAGAACGGACGTGCTTTGGTTCAGAGAAAGATACTATGCATAGGATGAGAGGAAGTGGCCATACCTCAGCAATGCGACGGATGTTCTCGTTGCGGTCTTTCTCAGAGAACCCAAGATCCTTGTTCAGACCAAAGCGAACATTATCACCGTCCAGACGGTAAGCGGCAACTCCCAGGTGCAGAAGGTGCTGCTCTAGGGCGGTAGCTACTGTAGACTTGCCAGAGGCGGAGAGGCCCGTCAGCCAGAGGGTGAAACCACGCTGGCCGCGCAGCTGGTTGCGCTCAGAGCGCGAGAGTGAGGGGTGCCATGTAATGTTGCTGTTGTATCGGAGGACATACGTCAGTCAATTTGTTTGTGATTCAGCCGGCCGTCAAATGGCAGGTGTCGGATAAAGAGCCAGTGATTTGTATTTGTCGCAAGCTGGCGGAATGACTGCCGGGTTGACGGGCGAGAGCATAGGGAAATTCAAGGAGGTGCAACTTCGTCTCCTCAAGGCGGAACTTGATAGTGAAGCTTCGAACTTACGTGGCCATAGTGGATTCAATTGGGTATCTGGTGGTAAGGACTACAGAAGAATGGTGTTGAGGAAATTTAGCTCTGTAATGGAGACGGGCGCAGCGGCAACAACCGCTTTTACATATATATACACAGATGCGCGCGCACACGACTATCACGACAACGGACCGAGTAGGGTAGTTGGTTGCTTCTCACCCCACCTCCTTCCCCTCCTTTCCACCCTCCCCCTCTCTCTTTCACTTTACAAGCTTAGATCAAAGAGAAGTCAGTGTCAAACGAGGTACCCAGCACACTCGAATACCGCAGAATAGAGAGCGGCGTCACAGGAGAGGTACTTACCCGGCTTGGGCCTTATCCGCATGTAGGTAGGCACGCAGGATAAGAAAAATTCACTGGAATCCGCAGTACGGATACTGCGCCGCGCGATGGCGTCAGATCGGCTAGAGGTGGATCATCGCTTAGAGGGACTTAGCGCGTCAGAGGTCTTGAATCTAGGTTTCTTACCCACTACGAGCTGCTACCGACTCCCGCTCCGCTCCCGGATGCCGCGGCGCGCTTCCCGTCGGTGCCGAAGCTTCTCCGACTTCCCCAATGACCTCCCTTCGCTATGGTAGGATGATTGTGTACATTGTCATAGCCACTTTTTAAATCTTTCTTCAATTTTCTGCCGACAATTATACCTCTTCGCCGACGATATAATTTCACTTGCAAGCTACCTATCTAACCACTTTGAGCCCCATGGTCATCTGTAGTCTACCTATCATACCTTATGTTGCTACCTCTGTCGAGGGAAGCCCATATTGCGCGCCTCAGACGTTCGCCTGGTTCGGCTGGGCCACACCGAATCGCTTTGAAAATGCCTTCTGTGCTCGGCGACCGAAAGTTCTCGCAAGTTGCTCATCAACCTGAAGACGACGTCGTCTCTTTTCTCCGGTCAACCAGGCGCATTCGCCCTGGCTGCTGGAAATTCGGAGGCCTAGAGAAAGTGATACTCAAACTTGTAAAGCGCTTGTATCATGAAGGGCTTTAAGAAGTCGCATTTAGCTTCGCCATAACCTGTCGAGACATTAGTATCGTCGATCGATGGTCAAAACATTCAAGAAAAGGCCACTCACCGATGCAAATCTGGGAGATACAAAAAGCGCAGAGGCTTGCGCCAGGACAACAGGTTGTTCTCCATCGGCTGCCAGCGTTTCCAGCTGGCCCTCAACCCATGCTTTGCGTCCCTCTACCCTCGTCGTGCGCGCCCGCAAAACGACATACGTGCCTGCATGCACTGGTTTCCTATAGTTGATCTCAAGCTTAGCTGTGACGCCCACATTGTGGGGAAGAGCACCGAAGCAGCACCGTGCCAGGCCCTCGTCAAGCATAGTAGCAAGCAATCCACCATGCACAATGCCCGGGTGACCACAAACGTCTGTGCCAAGGTGGGTGATTGACACAAGAGACTTGCCCCCCCTTTCAGTCCAGCATACAGGGGGCACTGTGATCCGGCCAGGTCCAAGGAGCGTGCCGCCCGTGAGGTTGTGCCGCCGCAAGGCATCGGGGAGTCTCATGTGGGGGCGAGATTCGGTCATGTCGAGATTCCGGCGCATCTCTGCCGCAATTGGGTGATTGTTGATAAAGTCATTTACCGCTCCGGCCTCGTCGGTCCTGGGCACGTAGGCGCGCAGGCTATCTTCATCAGAGCGGAGCCTTGTCGCGTCGAGTAGACCAGGCACAAGGGGACTCGCCGCCGCAGCGAATCCCAGGCATGCAAATAGCAGTCCAAAAGCGCCAAAGCCGAGGGCTTTGTGGAATCGGGAAGAATTTGTCGATTGCGAGGCCGGGCCTACAATGACTTCATGTGAGCTGGGTAGGCTGAATCCTGAGGAGAATGACAGAAACCTACCTGCATCAACACCTCGGTGGTAGCATCGGAGCCAAAACTGCTGACAGCGGGCCGAGTTTCGTAAGACTGGCGCGTTTGGGGCGGCCCAAGTTGAGGGCTGCTTAAGTAGCCGCCGAAGAGGAACAAAGGATGATGCTGCCATGGATGCGACTGGTCCGTCGAGCAACAAGGCTAGAGCTTCCAATTTATGTGTGAAGCATAGGAGCAGATCAAGATTGATCTTTGACCTGGTTCGTCACTCGAAGTGCATGGTCAGTCGTATGCCGAGGCTATATGCAGGGTAGGTCCAGGTGGTATGGTCACGAAGGCGCGGTATGCAGCAGAATGATCTACCGGGGTATTATAATATTGATTTACTAAGCGACAATTCACTAAGCGAGCGCTACAACAGATCTAGCCAAAATATGCATGAATGGGGTTTTCACATCCGTCCTGATGGTTTCCGCTTCTCACACTTGCCTAGTGGCTTCTCAAAAGAGTACGCTGCTCCATTTGGGAGCCATCCCTTGGCTGTAGATGAGGCGTACGTCTGACTTCAGGTGTCGTAGCCTCGCGCAATCCTCTGTACACTCTACTCCCGGCCGCATGACATCATACTCTCCGTAAAACTACGTATCAGACGGGGGGTGTTCACCCCTACGGCAGTGGTTGGTTCTCATGCGGCATCGGTCCGTGTGGCTGGCTACAGGGGTCCCGGGCAGACCTCAAAGTCAATCAAGCAAGCAACACATAAGCTTGAAGGCCGGGTAGGACTTACCCCTCATCTGACCTCTGGCCTTCAAATAGTGTAAACAGACACCGCCGACAACCGCTGATTCTACATTGTAACTTTGGCCTCCAGCGTCAAGCAGCTTTACCTCGTATGGCATCAATCCTTTGCACTTGTTCATAACACAGTTTCGAGACCGCACCCATCGCAGGTTGCCAGCAGTTCATTAGAAAGACACAGCAGCAATATATGCAATGGTATTGTCCTCCATCTTTCCTCGCGCACCGCCAGCATGTACTGTCTTGTTGAACTTGATTGACTCATCGCCGTGCTCCACCCCCTTCAGGCCACAGCAGAAACCGTAGATCTGGGGGCTGTCCACGCGCCCAAGGAAGAGTCCATCAAGGTATTTCAGGAGATCGCACTTGATCTCAAGGAAGAACTTCTCCACATCCGACGTGAACACCAGAGTAAGTCTCAGGATGTCCACTCGGAACAAGCCATGAGCTAACAGCTCATGACCAGAGCATGAGCCCGAGTACTTCCACGCCGTTGTAAGCCCTTATCATTTTGCCACGCCTCCCAGTCTTTCTCGCTCAGAAAGTCCGTAGGAACACCTCAACGATCACCAGCTCGCCGCCTTTGGCCCAGACAACTTCGTGGCCGTAAGAGTTGCCAGCTCGGCCTACGGGATCCATCTTTTTGGCAAGGTCCGCATCCCAGCGCTTCCCGAGTCGGGGCCTGCCTATATTCACTTTCGTGCCTTCGTGCCTGGAGGTGAGCCGCCAAGACTTCATAGCATTCACACAGAGGAGACAGAGCACTCGGATGGGGATAAAACGTACAGGGCCATTTTCACCAAAGACGATGATCTGTATTGGTTTGACACATAGATATATAGGTATGGGATCGATTGGCAGAGAGTTGGCCACGAATCCATATACCGTAGGTTTGTTTGCAGACGCACAACATGATTTCTTTTGCGAATTCCTCGATCCAATTACATGTCCTCCTCCGCCGCCAAAAGTTCGGCATAATCATCTGCCGAAGCAAACATAGGCAAGTCCTTGAACTTCCTCTTCGATGATCGAGCGGTGCTCTTGCTCTTCTCGCTTGTCTCTTCAGCCTCCCCGGGTACTGCAGACAACTCAGGACTCTCCTCTTCCTCCATCTCCTCATCGTCGTCTCCCTCCTCATCCTGGAGTGCTTCCATGTCGCTGTCATCTTCGTCACCATCTGAGAGTCCTGCATCGGAACCGTCGGAGAATATGACGCCGCCATCAGAGTTTTGATCACTGTCATCAAAACCATCCATGTCAAGGTCGTCCTCGTCACTTTCAATTGGGCCATCGGGGTGCGAGGCAGTGAGTGCCTTCCAGATCGCATCCTCTTGCTCCGCGTCGTCCTTGGCAATGGCCTCATCCGGTCCAGATGAGGATGGCTCAGCGATCTTCTTACCAACCTCAACCTTCTTGCCAGCTTGTTTGAAGTATTCGTGGAAGAATATGTCCTCCGCTGCGACCTGATCCACCTTCTGGTTCCAGAATTTAGGTGTATTGATTGGTACGGCTGCACCTGAGCCAGTTCTTTTCGCGAGCCAGATGCTGCCGGAATCGGGGTTGCGGACCGGTTGCATGATCGATGCTCCCCTAGCAGTTTCTGCTGACTTCGGGCTGCGGTACACAAATTTATCGAGGAATCTAATTAGGCTGTGGCTCTCCAAATCTGGTTTAGCCATCTGCTTCTCATCGGAGAACAGGCTTGCAGCTAGAAGCGATACGGACGGATGGAAGTGAGTGAGTGGGGGTATCTACATTGTTAGCAGCTGGAGTCTCGTAAAGTTGAACATGGATATTAGCTTACAATCTCCCAGAGACAACTGTTCTGAGCGTTGCTGTGCTCTGGGTTTCTTTTGCGGCCATCATACACATTTCCCCTCGAAACGGATGTGTTCTGCTCCTCTGCCACACGTTGGCTAGTTATCTCTTCTATTTCACTATCCTCTGGTTCTTCAAGGAGTGCTTTGAGGTCGGGAAATTGAGTCCGCAATTGAAACACCACATATATCAAACCACAGACAAAAGCAGGCTGATGCATGTTGAGAATCTGCAACATTCGCTTTGCGAATGCCTTGATCCGTCGTGTGTCAACATCGGCCTTGAGAGACTTCAGTAAAAGGTTCAGGTAAAGAGCCTGTTTAGAGGAGTTTGCAAGTCGCGGGTCCAACAAGGATTCGTACAAAGTTCTGTAGAACCTGTCGGAAGCCAGGTGCCTTGAAACAGATATTTGCTGAATGAGAATCAGCGCCTGGATGCTGGTGTTGAAATTCGTCGAGTGCGCAATTCGGAAAAGAGTGTCCATTTGAGATTCGAGGCTGGCGGTGACTGTCAGTTATCTACATTTGCGGGAGCACGGAAGCCAAGGAAAATCAGATGCTTACATGGGATCTTGCTCAGTCACGAACGGCACAGCGCGGTTGATACCCGTCAGTACAGCAGTGACCAACTTATCGGCCGTTTCAGTCGTAACGCCAGTGTCGTTAGTAGAATGATGCTGCTGGCTTTCGGCAGGTGCTTTACCGAGTGCGGAACTGTTGAGAAGAGTAACAAAGATTTCAAAATAAATGCGGAGGAGTGTTTCTGCCGTGCCGCCTTCGCGGTTGCTCAGAATTGTCTGATTCAGAGTATTGGTGGCGTGGTATTTGGCCCTGAAAGTCTGGCCCGGACGGAGTAAAACCTCCTGCTCTATGCCCTTGATGACAACCTGTTTCATTCCGGGATGGGTGTTCTGAAGCTGAAGCAGAAGGTAGGAAACTCTCGATGCAATCTTGCGGTCCTTGTCGCCCATCTTGTTGACCAACAGCCGTAGCAAATTGGTCTCCTGCTCGGGCTTATCCTTGAGCAAGCCGTAGACAAAGTCAATGGAACGAGTGCGAGAGTATTCGATCTCATCATTGCACCAGACCTCAAGGAGCTGGATGATCTTGAAGTATGACGTTTTGAGCCAGTCCTCGTAAACCCATTGGATGAGGTGTGCATCCGTCAAACGACCTGGCAAGGCTTGGCTAGGATTCCAAATCTTGACCGAGGATCGCTGCAGAGCTCCAATTAGACCAGGCTGAGTCTGAAAGGCGCGCAGTCTCCTGTTGGGGGGTAGAACCAAACCAGTGCCAAGGAGATCTACCAACGCACCGAGAGCGCCAATGGCCTGAGCGCGACTTCTTTTAGACGCAAGGCCTAGGAGTGTTTCAAAAGCCTTGACATTGTGCAGCGGTGACTCTTGAATTGCCAAAGTGAGAGCAGAAACTTTGTCGGAGAGGGTTCCGGAAGACATGATGGTGGAGAGGAACTTTCGAGAAGATGATGCCAAAACGCTCTTATTATACGCCGCCGCATCCGCCTCCAGAAGAGTATATGCGTGAGTTTTGAGAGCATTAACAGCACCAGAGAAGCCATTCACTTCAGGAGATGTAGGATCCGGAAGTTGGCTCAGTTCCGCCCCGTGCCAGTCGGCACGAGGTTCGAATTTCTAACAGACATGGGTCAGTAAAAAGAGAGTGTGAAGTGACTTGGGCCAGGTGGCTGCTCACGAACTGCTTCTTGAACGTATCCTTGACATCCTTGCGAGAAGGTTCTTGAGGTGCATGGGCTTTATCGTGGCCATCTACTTCGGAAGTTGCTTCTCCCTCATCGAATTGATCATCGTTTTCGCCGACGTCATCTGCCTCGCTCTGCTCCTCCGCCTCCTCCTCCCCATCTTCTTCTGCATCCTTGGTTGTTGCTGCTTCATGATGTTGTTGGAGGCCAAGCTGGGCTGCGAAAGCAGCAAGCTCGGTCTGAAGCTTTCTATCAACAGCAGAGGATAAGGTGGCTTCCTCGGTGGCGTCTTCATCGTCCGAGTCGATGTCTCCAATGAGCTTCAGGTCTTCTTCATCTCCGCCTAGAGCCCGAATCTCCTCCAGAAGATCCTCGCGATTTAGGCGTGTGCCTGTCCCGCCCTTCACCTCAATAGCAGTGCCATCGCGCTCGCTGGTGGACTTGTCGCGACGATGAGCTTGTTTCTTTCGTTGGCGCGGGCTCGTCAAAGGCTCGTCGGAGTTGTGTTTGCGTTTCTTGTTCTCATTGGAGTTGTCGTCTTTCGCAGCTTTGCCCAGTTTGCCCTCGATCTTGGCCGTTAGATTCGAGAATGACTGCGGATTCAATGACTCTGGCTGTCGAGCCTTGCCGGCGGATTGCCTCTTTGGCTTGCCCATCATGAATTTGTGATTGCGGCCGCAGCCAGGGCAGCAGGGGCAGACTTTGGAAAAAGCTCGGAAGATGACAGAATGAACCGCTTGACAGGAAGAAAGTTTCTCTGTATTACTCTGTCCAAGTTGGCCAAGTGAAGCTCACTCAAATGTCCATGAAACAGAAACTGCAGCGCAGCGTGGAAAGAATATCCCAAAAAAAAAAAAAAAAAAAAAAAAAAAAAGAGGCGAGGGGGGGGGGGGAGAGGGAAAGAAGAAAAGACAAAAAAAAACAAAAAAAAAAAAAAAGCGGGAAAGGGAGAAAAAAAAAACAAAAAAAAAAAAAAAAAAAAAAAAAAAAAAGGTACCGAGCACGAAGGAAAAAGTTGGTTTGAACAGCGTAGTGGGGGCGCGTTTCTTATCGATAAGTCGGGATATCGAACGGGCACGGGTCGTGGCCAGGCACCTGAACCCAATTGAATAAGTATGTATTAAGGCATTGAAACCCTGGTCGTGCATCTCAACTTGTCTTGGGGATCTGTCACTGCAAAATCTCCAAAACCAAGGTTATGCGGATAGTCAAGCAGCATTCGACGTGGCCTCACCTCACCTCATGACTTTCTATGAACATCAGTGGGATTGGACCTTAATCTCGTGCTAGACTTGCCAATTGCTCATTGCTAGTCTGCGGCATCCGCTGTTTTCCGATTGGCAAGCCCTCGACCGACCCTCAAAAGACTGCCTGATCAGTCACAACAGTCATCTCATCTTGGTGGATGATTCCAACGTGAGCACGTTGACCATCACTGCTGCCTAGCCAGCTTATCAATTGCAGTTAATTGTTCCAGAGTCCGCACCTCGCTCGCTGGTATACTTGCTCTGCCTCCGCCAACATGGCCTTCAGCCGTGCATGGAGACTCCGCGTCTTGCCGTCGTATCCCAGCACGATGGCAAGCTATGGTAGCTTACCATTCAATGGCAGCAGCCAGGTAGGTACAAACACACCCTTATACTGATTCATCGATACGTTGTTTGCTTACATATTGCTAGTCATCCAGTCGTAGCTACCGTGTTGGTAGGGCCAGAAATCGACTTTCAGCTGTCTGGGTTCCTACCGGAGGAATGACACCTGAGCGAGGCGAAGAAAGTAGGTCTACTGCATGCAACCCATCTCGATTAACAGCAGGCTCATCTCAAGATAATCAGGCGCGCATGAAAAGCTTGTTCGCGCCGGTTTCTTGCGACAGGTAAGCTATTGGGGGAAAGGTAATTGAGTTGTCGGATCTTGCTGATTCCTTGCGTCTCAGTCACACTCCGGCATTTTCCATCTACTTCCGCTTGGCCAGCGCGTTCAAAACAAGCTGGAGGGCGTCATTGACTACTACATGCAAGAACTTGGTCAGTTTCTGTACACATCGGTTATAGCTCACCACGCTCTACTAACATCTGCAACAGGAGCCTCGAGAGTTGCTCTATCAACCATTACCTCCAAGGATCTATGGCAGAGGAGTGGCCGCCTCACACAACTAGAAGCTGAGGTCCGTTCATGCCTTCTTGTAAAACGTAACACTATGCCTAACCTCTCGTATCTTAAAGCTATTCGGCTTTGAGGACCGCAAAGGGTCCAAATATATGTTGTCGCCCACTCACGAGGAAGAGATTACTACTCTAGTGGCTAAGACCGTCAAGTCCTACAAAGAATTGCCCCTTCGCCTCTATCAAATCAGTGAGCTCACCGACTATTTCACAAGCCTCGTCAGTAGTCCAGGAGCTCATACTGTGATCCTTAGCGCGCAAATTCCGCGACGAACTGCGCCCGCGCCACGGGCTGCTGAGGACCCGCGAATTCACCATGAAGGACCTCTACACCTTCGACGTCTCTGCAGAATCGGCCTTGGAGACCTACCAAAAGGTTCAGTTAGCATACACTGGCGTTTTCAAAGCCTTGAAGTTGCCGGTGATGGTGGCCAAAGCCAGCTCCGGTGATATGGGAGGCGATCTCAGCCATGAATATCACTTGCCCACCTCAATTGGCGAAGACACTGTGGTCACATGCAATAACTGTAACTATGCTGCTAACGCAGAAATCGCAGAATCACGGGCAGCCACCGTGGATATCCGAGGGTCTGGCGGTCTGGCCGAAGCTGTGAGTCCGGCATCTGTTTCAACAAGGGTTTGGCGGGGTATCAGTAAGGACCGCAAGACCTTGGTGAATGCCTGGTACCCAGGTCGATCCCAGAACGGATCTGACCGAGACACCGATATCAGAATTCCTGCCATCAAGTCAATTGTCACTGATCTGGACGCAAGCACTGAAGATGCCGTGTCTTTATGGCAGACAACTATTACATCAACGTTCTCTGGCGGGGACGCCGCAGCCACCCGGCCCCGGATCATCAACATTATAGATTCCACATTAAGCAACAGCGTAGAAGAGATTTTACGAGATGAGAGCAACGCATGGCCAATATCCGGGTTGGGCATTCCGAAGGATACAGTACACTCTACCATCATTACAAAAACCCAGGGTGGACAACCGATCAACCTGCTCGCCGCTCACGCTGGCGACAAATGTCCCTGCTGCGATAGTGGCGCCCTGCAGGTCCAAAAGGCTCTGGAGCTGGGGCATACGTTCTACCTAGGAACGCGATACTCGGAGCCACTCGAGGCAATGGTATCCATACCGACTCGTGCAATATCAAGTCGGCACGAGGTCCAGCCAGCCCCGACTGAGCGCAAGACGCCCATGCAGATGGGGTGCCACGGGATTGGCGTCTCCCGACTCATCGGGGCCGTAGCTGAGCATCTGAAAGATACCAAAGGCCTGCAATGGCCACGCGTCATCGCTCCCTACGAAGTCGTGGTGATCTCCACTCCTAACCTAGCTAAAGACGCTATTATAGTGTACGATGAGATTGCGGCGTCGTCCAGGGCCCCAGGAGGCATTGACTTGGTGTTGGATGACAGGGCGGTGTCTTTCGCTTGGAAATTGAATGATGCAGACCTAGTGGGATACCCAGTCCTAGTCATACTAGGCAAAGTATGGAAGGAAAGAGGTGACTGTGAAGTCCAGTGCCGCAGACTCGGGATCAAGGAGATGGTCCCGCTCAGAGAACTGCACCAGCGTGTGGCAGACTTGCTTGAGCAACTCTAGTATAGCATAACCATCAGACGGAAAGAAGACCGCTAGCGCATCGAAACGCGCGCGACGCAGTGTGTATAAATAGTTATATAGTTCCTCTAACTCCGATGTATAAGATTTCCAGGTTGTGAGATGGAAAGAGCATGCACTGGGATTCAACGTCCCACTCGCACAGGGTATGCCCTGTGGTTTTAAGGCTCATCCGCACTCCTCTTCGGTGTCTTTTCTCACCGAGAGCCTCTGATGTGGAAGGCGGTGACGGCCTGTGTCCTGAGGGTGTGGGGCGGTCACGTGTATGACCACTGCCTCAGACAGTGCAACAACGACTGCGAATAATGGAAAGAGCACCTAGTGCCGATGGATGACAATTAGCCCTTACTCCAAATTCAGCTTTGAGCGAGTCGGAAGCAACAGTCACTCCCAGACACTGGAAGAATCTCCCGATTACCTTCTTACTTTCTCTGCAACCTTAAGGTAAGCAATTACGGTCGCTTAGGGGCTGTTATCGGACGGGGACTCCAAATCACTCCATCCATTCATCCGGGTTTTGTTTGTCCGCAAGCAGGCTCAGTCCACCATGGCCGGGCAGGGTTCCGAGAGCAGTGAGTATTTCAGTCTGCCGATTGACCATCCCATGACTGAGGTCAGGTGTGCATCTTTGGATTCCGTGCTGACCGAGCCCCATAGTCAACCTGGAGACGCTGGATACCCAGCAACTCAGCCAGGTCAAAAAGCAGTTGGAGGAGGAACTTGAGCACTTAACAAACTCGTTCGCCCAGCTGCACAGCGCGCAGGCCAGGTTCAAGGAGTGCCTTCGTTGTGTCAAGGCCCGACCTGGTGCTGGTGATGGTGCGCACGTCCCTGCTTTCCACGCCTCATCAGGAGTTCTATGGTGCATTGGGTAGCGACGTTGACAAGTTTCCAGGCGACAAGTCTGTCCTGGTACCTTTGACCAACTCACTCTATGTACCTGGGGAGCTCTCGGATCCAAAGCACGTCATCGTCGACGTGGGCACGGGATTCTACGTCGAGAAGGCATGTTTCATTTGCACTTGAGGTTTGAGGCGGTCACTTTATGGACTAACGCTTGCGCAGGATGCTGAATCTGCTGAACGTTTCTACGAGGCTAAGGTCCAGAACTTGATGAATAACATCCAGGACCTCGAGGTGATCGTGCAGCGGAAGACAACAAACGTGCGGAGTGTAGAGGATGGTAAGTTCCGCTGCTCCCTAGGAAAAGATGCTGGATAATGTGGTTTCGAGATGGTTCTAACTACGAGTGTGCAAATAACAGTATTAAGGCTGAAGGTTTTGCAAACTCAAGCAGTATAAATAAGTAGTAATAGGTGTACAACCCAACACGCTAAGTTGTTTTACATATTTCTTGAGAAACTTCGTCTATTTTACTGTCCCGGCCTATTCTCAAGGTTTTACTCCTTATGAAGGTTTTGGGAGAGGGGGGTTGGACGTTACCCGGTCCTGATATCTTATTTACGTACTGTACTGTTACGACCCAAGAAATGGTTAGTTCTAGCGACCTGAAAGGAAGGCCCGCGGCACAGCGACTAGGTTATTACGGCCAGCTAGTCGTAATAAAGGTAAATATTAGTAAAAGTCGGGCCTTTAATACTTATAAACAAAATTAATTATTATAATAACTTTTAGAAAACTATTATTTATAAATTATATAATAAAAAGGTTTTAATAATTAATTATAATTATAATTAATAAAGTTTTAATTAAAAATAATGAAAAATAATTATAAATCTTAATATAAAGTTAATTATTTAAAAAACTTATAAAGATTGTTTTTAATTTAATTTAAATTTAAATTATATAATTTTAAATATATTTTTATTAATAATAAATTTAAAAACTAATAAATACCTTATAAATTTTGAAATACTTATATAAAATTATATTATTTATAATTTTATTAAAAACGCTTATTAATTTCTTTTACTATATATAACTTATATTAATTATACGTCGCTATATACTATATTAATCAAAATAAAATTTATTTAAATATATTAATTAACTTATATCCTAAGCACTTTTAACTAATTTATTTATTTAATTAATTTATAAAAAGTCTTTTAAAAAAGATAAATATTTAAATTATAAAAATTAAATTTTTTAAATTTTTTAAATAAATAAATCGTAACCGTTTACTTTTATATATACGTTATAAAATATAAGGCCGTTACTTTTTAATATAAATATCAAACTTTATATATTAAAAATCGGCGTTATAAATTAAATTATATAAGCTAAATTCTAAATTTTTATATTTATTATAATTATAAATTTAACTTTTATAAACTTATTTTTTAAAATAAAAAATTAAATAAATATTTTTATTATTTAAAAACTTTTTAAAATATAAAATATTTATTTATAATATTAATAATTTATAATAAGTTGTTACGGCCAGCTAGTCGTAATAAGGTTTATATTAACAAAAGTCAGGGCTACGATATTCGTAAATAATAGTCGTTATAAAAATAGCTTTTAATAAAACTATTATTTATAAATCGTAAAATAAGTAAAGCTTCGGTAATTAATCGTAGTTTTATTAAATAAGTTTTTAATAAAAATAGCTAAAAATAATCATAAGATTTAATATAAAATTAATTATTAAAAAAGCTATAGAAATTATAGATATAAGCTTAGTTTAAATTTATATTATATATAAGTCCCGTATATTATTAAATAGTTTTTTTATATTTAAGACCGATATTATAAAATCGGTCTTTTAAAAATAAATCGATTTTTATTTTATTAATTTATATTTAAAGACTATTTATTATCCGTTGGTCCTTTTTATTATTACGTAACTTTTTTATAATTTTTTTGATTTATTAAAATGATATATATATTTTTATTATTCGATTATATATATAGTAAAATAGCCGCCGTAAAATAGCAGGGCAGGTCCTTAGTTTATTATATATATTAAGTCGTAATATTTAGTCTCTTTTCTAAAGGTCTAGTCTTATAGACTTATAAATAAGTATTCGTAGCTTAAGTTAAGGCTTATTAAGTTATTAATTCGTTATTTTTTATAATATTAATATTATATTAAGTCGTATAAAAAAATCGAGTATTAAAATAAGATTTAAAAAAATAAAAATAAAAGATCGTAAGCGTTTAGTGTTTTTAAAGTTTATTAAAGCTCGTCTAGTTAATATTAATATATTTTATACTCGTTATTTTTATATTAAGGTTACGTATCGGTTTAATAAGGGGTTTTTTTATTATCGGATTTATATAAAAATAAAAAAGCCTTATAATAGGGTATTAATAATATCGACTTATAAGCTAATTTTTTATTCTTTATTATATTCGTAATTATTAATAATTATAATTTAAAAATTTAATATTTAATAAAAAAAATAGGAAAAAAAAAAAAAGAAAGTAGGTAAAGAATTTTTAAAACTTTATAAGGAGTTAGCCCGTTTTTAATTATTAATAGTAATTATTATTAGTCGCTTATTTTATATTTAAAAGATTTAAAAATTAATATAGGATCGTTAAGTTAAGACTTTTTTTTAAGGGATATAAGAGGTAAATAAATCCGATACTTTAGAGTCTATATTAAATATATATAAGCATAGAATAGTTAAGGAATTATAATTTATATAGGTTCTTAATAATATAAATTAGTCCTTTTTTAAGCTTAGTAACGAGTTCGCGTTTTTAAAACCGCTAATTCTATCTTTTAATAGTTTTTAAAAAGTTACTAAGAGTTTTAAAAGTTTATAATAGGTTCTTATATATTATTTTCGTATCTATAGTTTTTTTATTTAATAAAATATTTTTATTATCCTTTTTAAGTTCGGTAATTAATAATTCGTTTGACTTCGTATTCCGGTTCGTTAGGTTTAATAATAATACGATTTTTAGTATATAAGCCCTTAAGTATTAATATAAAAAGTAAAATATAAAAAACTAAATAGTATCGTATCGTATTTAGGAGTTTTAATTTAAAATTAATTAATAAAACTTTTTTAATAATTTCGAAAGGTTTAAGTTTTTTATAATTTAACTTATTGTTTAATCGCTTCGTTTTAATATTATAATAAAAGAGGTATATATTATTTCTTTTTTTTAAGGTTAGTTTATTAATTTTTAATTTATCGGCGTATTTTTTTATACGTTACTATATAAACTTAAGGTTTAAAAAGGCTTTTTTTTAAATTTTTTTAAGTTTATTTACGTCTATTACGGCTTTTATAGTTTATAGTCCTTCGTATACTTTTTTATATATAGTTAATTAGAATCCGTAATTAAAGTAAAAAGGGGATTTTTTTATATTTTCGTTAACTACGTTATTATATATAAACTAGGCTATTAATAATAATAATACTTAATTATCTTAATTATAATTTATATAGTAACGGAAGTATATTTTAAGAATTTAATTAATTTTTTCCGTTTATTTATTAGTTTATAAGTAGAAAAAGGTTAATAGTTTATGATTTATATTGAGTTATGAAATTAAAAATTTTTAAAACTTAGCGGTAAATAGCTTATTTTTATTAAAAACTATTTCTTTAGGTAAACCGTGGTTAATAATAATTATTTTAAGGAAGGTATATATTAATTCTTTAATATTATTTATTTTTTTATATAATATAAAATAAGCGAACTTAATAAGTCGGTCGACGATAATTAAGATATTATTATATTATATATTCATAAGTAGTTTTTTAGACTTTAGTAGTTTAACGATAAAGTTTTAAAAGATTAAATATTATATTTTTAGTAATACTAATAGTAGTTATAGCTCTTTATAAGGTTTATAAGGGCTGTTTTTATTTTTTTTATAGATATTATAGTTTTTAATAGCTTTAACAACTTTTATTTTTATAACGGATTTATTATAATATTAGCGAATCCGTTTTTATATTTTTATAACACTTTAGTAACTATATACTCGAATATTATAAACTTTTATAATAAGCTTAAGAGTTATTTTTTTAAACGGGCTAGTATTAACTTTTTTAATTATTATAAGGAGTTTTATAATAAATATAAAATTATTATTATCGTCGTGTTTAAGGATTATTTATATTTCCTTAGGGACCGTGACTTTATAATTAGGTCGTTTATTAAGAGTATTTATTTTACTATTTTTTAAACTTTTTTAATAGATAATTCGGAAATTAAATTTAGATAGGAATTCGCTTTATTTAATTTATTATTTATTTAGATTTTTATTTATTATAAAGTTCGTAAAGTTCTTATAATTTATATAGATAATAACTTTGTATTTAGTTTTTAAAAGCTATAGTTTTTATTTTTTAAAAGTTTCGATTATAGTTATTAATTTTTTATTATAAATTTATAAATTTAGTTTTGTTTTATAGAACGTTTTAGAATAGAATATATAAAAATAAAATATTTTTTATTAATCTTATTATTTTAAAATAGCTTTTATAACGAAGTCCGAGGCGTCGGTCTCGATTTTAAATAGTTTTTTTAAGTTTAAGATTATAATTATTAATTCTAAAATAACTAGATTTTTAACTTTATTAAAAATATTTTTATATTTTTTATTTTAGATAAAGGTTATGTTTTTTTTTATTAGGTTATTAAAGGGTCTAATAATATTAATATAATTTTTAAAAAATCGTTAATAGAAATTAACAAATTTTAAAAATAACTATACGTTTTTAACGTTAGTAAATATAGGCTAGTCTTTAATTATTATTACTTTAAATATTTATATATAGATTTATTTTAACGTAATTATATAACTAAAGAAATCTATTTTTTATATATAAAATTTATATTTATTAGGCTTAACGAAGAGCTTCGTATTTTAAAGTTTTTAAAATACTATATAAACGTGTTTCTTATACGTTTCGAAATTAAAAGAGAAGATAAGGATATTATTAAAATAAACGATTATAAAAATATTAACGTACTCCTTAAGTATATAATTAATTATTATTTAGAATATAGCGGGTACGTTAATAAGTCCGAAAAGTATAACTAAGTATTTATAAAGTCTTTTACAAGTTTAAAATGCCGTTTTTTATTCGTTTTTTTTTTAATTTTGATTTAATTAAATATTCTTTTAAAGTTTATTATAATAAACTATTAGGCTCTATATAACATTTCCCTAAGTTTTATAATAAAAAGTAATAAATAGTAATTTTTTTTAATAATTTTGTTAAGTCCTTTGTAATCGATTATAAGTCTAAGCTTTTTTTTACTTTTTTTAAATACGAAAAAAATTAGTATTCTTATTAAAAAGGATAATAGTTTAATATAACCTTTTTTAAGTTTATCGTTAATATATTTGTTAAATTCGTTACGTT